ACGTGTCCTCATCTAAACTGAAGTAAGCAAATTCTCTCTTGATAACCCTCACATTGACTTAGTAAACTCAATCATCTCTACCAATGGTTAACAGGATGGAGCTTTAAGCTATTGTTTAGGTCCTCATATCTAATTTCGTATATGGTGAATGTAACTGTCTGTCGAGTGTGAAAGTGAGCTCTAATCCATGTTTGAACAAAGCTGGACCTGTGAATGGAGTGTGCAAGTCCAAGCACGCCCTTCTTCCTTTTGAACTCCTCAAAGTGCAGTTTGATTATCGACTTTATGTATGTAGTTTGCCGTCATGGCAATAAAGGAACTCTGGTTCTTGTGGTATATGGATTGGAAAGTGATCAGAATACCAATTCTAACAAGGGCCAATAACATTCGACACTGAAATGTCGCAAATTCTTTCGTTTTTTCTCCCTTCAGATTATGTTAGCTTCAGAAGTCACAAGGATTAAATAACTGAAATCCAGAGAAAATCTGATAAGAAAGCTTAGTATTAACTATTCATGAAAAACCAATAGAAAAATTATTTGTGCAATGTAAGAGAAAAGCCAGATTGGACGAAACTTTATGTGATTCTAGAACTGCAATTATCTGGTACAAACCCTCAGTCTCATTTGCCATTCAAATTTGGCCGGATATGTCTCTTTGACTCATGAAAACCACGTTCTCAACATTAGCAGCCGTTCACTGTATCACAAAATCCTTTCACCTAATTTTTCTCCTTGGAGGGTAAAATTAAACATTTACAAGAGTCCCATTTGATGTCTGAATTCTGATCGGGTCCACAGGTTTTGCAATTGTTTTAGGGAAAATTTCAAAGAAGGACTCGAAGTGGAGTGTTTTTCCCAAATAAGGACCCGAAGTGGATTGTTTTTCTCAAATAAGAATCCGAAGTTGATCTTGTCTCAAATAAGAGCCTGGAGTGGCAAATCAGTCTCAAATAAGGACCTGAAGTCACCGGCCGGCCAAATGTTCATCGGCCGGCGGTCTTGTGATTGTTCCGGTCACCGGAGAAGGGACATTTTTGTCCAAAAATTCTGGGTTGGTTTTTTTTTTTTTCTCTCTCTCTTGTATGACGATGATTCAGCCGTGCGTAGAAACGCAAGCAGAACAAAGGAAGAAATTTCGTGAATCCTCTCTCCCTCTCTTTCTAGTTCGATTGTGCCCGAAAAATCAATCACGTCTTCTATTTGCATCCTCAAAAGCTCTCAGACTTGACACCCAAATCTCACATCTGCGAGCTCAAAGGCTTTACCGGGACATTTGGAGAACAACGGACCGGAGAGGAAGGTCTAGAGGGATGATTCTGTTCATCGCGTTCTACGGTCTAAGAGAGTACTACAAGCTACCGGTCACCGCCGGCCTCCTTGCCACCAACACGCTGGCTTACTTGTGGCCCGGCGTGCTCGAATTCACTTCTCCCATCCACCGATCAAAGTCTGGTTTAATTGATAATACCCTCTCTTTTTTGTTGTCGTTTCCGCTGATCATTTCAACGGAAATGTTATTGTGGATGGATGGAGATGCAACTTTTGGAATTCATGATGGGGTGAATGCGAGTTAGGGTTTTGATTCAGAAATTGGGCAAATGTATTGCGGTGAACTCTGGGGAATCTTGCTGGTGGCCTAGTCTGATGTATGCATTCCCAATCGTGCTGGTGGCCTTGGTCTTACGAATCTTGCTAAGCGAATACTGCTTGTGCTCTTAAGGAATCTGCCATTTTCTTCTCAAATCAGACTCTTTTTGGGTTGCGTCCATTGAATCTATTTTGCTGAAGGGGTCTAGTTTGTCGCAGGCCAAGGAGAGATCAGACAGCATATATGCATGGAAGGAAAATGCTGAAACTGTGGCATTCATTGAAACCACATGTAAAGCCACGGGTGCAGATGTTATAAAGGCAAATGAGTGGAGATGGCCTCCAGTAAGGTCTGATGATCTGCTTGAAATACAGGGTGCTTTGTGAGGCTAGACAAAGTGGTACTAATTGGATTATCTAGTGACTCTTTCGCTGTAAAGCAGGGTTGGAAGCTAAGGAGGAAACGTGGGAACAAAGTGACTTCGCATAAGCTCGTATGGTTTCAGCCTAATGTGCCAAAATATGGCTTTACAACTTGGCTGGGGATTCGTAATAGGTTGCACACATTGGACAGGATGAAAACTTGTGCGACATCGATAGCATTATGTGCTATGCAGACAACAAGAAGAATCACGAATGCACTTGTTCAGTTGTTCTTCAAGGGTGTGTTCATAAAGCAGATTTGGGAACAAGTTTTACAGCTATTTTCATGTCCTAGATCTGCAAGTGACTGGAAGGATGAACTTACTGGGGTTATGTGTTTGCAGAGAAATTGACGAGTTCATGTTGACAAACTTTGCTGTAATCTGGTGGCAGGTTTTGAGTTCGCATCTTGTTTTTCTGGGTAGTGTATTGCTGTTGATACTGGTAGTGTAGATGTAGATGTGGGACACTGATGTAATGTTGTCCTTTGGTGTGTGGTGTCGTTACATGGAAAGAAGTATGTGCGAGACATAATGTTGTAATTGACTTGTATGGGAGTCCCCCTACGTTTTATTCCACAGCTTCCGCAATAAAATGTATATTTACTGATCAAAAAATGTATCTAATATCTCAAGTAATATATGTCTACTTTACTTACAACTTGTCGCGACCTAACCTCGGGTGCACCACCTAGGAGTTGCTAATGGATTATTAAGTTAGGCCTAACTCGGCTCTCCCAACTCCTTACCAATTCGCGACTTTAGCAAGTTTAAGTTCATTGTCAAATCGTTTAATCGGAGTCGTCACTAATCTATTTTTTTGGTGGTCCATTAAAAACCCAAGTAAAGTATCGGAAGAATTACTTTTTACTCCTACGAACTAGAGATTATGGATTCGGGGACTTAGTTACACTAGATTACTTTAATGCCGTTGTACCTTTTTCTTTTATTTCAAAAATATTTGCAGGGCTTGGATTGATTTTAAACTTAGGGTTAATACACCAAAAACCCCAACCAGTACGCGTGTGACAATTTTACCCCAAACTTTTTTTTACCATAAAAACCCCAATCAAGTACTCAGGACAATTTTACCCCAAACTTTTTTACCACCAAAAACCCCAAATTAGTACACATGTGACAATTTTACTCCAAACAGTAAACGTGACAAATTTACCTAAACTATTTTTTGACCACGAAAAACCCCAACCGGTACACTTTGACAATTTACCGAACTAATAATTTTTTAATATTATTCTTTCGAATTTTTTATTAATTTTTTATTTTTTCTTTTCTTTTCTTTTCTTTTTTTTTCCTTCATCTTAACCCCGGTGGCTGGACGGAGCCGTGACGGAGCCGCCGGCAGGCTCGCCGCCCCGGCGGCCGGGGAGCTCGACCTCGCCGGGGCGAGGCCGCCCTTGGCTAATCCTCGGATCGGTGAGGGCGGCCCGCCGCGTCGGGTGAGGTTCCTCTCCGCCGCGAGGTCGGCCTCGCCCGACTCGAGAGAGCGCCCGCCGCTCGGGCGAGGTCGCCGCCTAGCTGGGCGGGCAGCCTCGCCGACGCCGCGAGGACCGCCTCGCCGAGATCCGACGGCTCGCCGGCGTAGGGCGAGGTTTGTCCTCGCGGACTAAGGCGAGGTTGCCTCGCCCGCCGACAAGGCGCCTCGCCGCCGCCAGACAGGGTCTGCTCGCCCGATGCCCTACCCAGCGGGTCCCATGCCGACGCGTGGGGTATTTTTTTGGTGCCTCGCCCGATGTCGGCGCCCAAATAGCGGTATCGGAGAAGCGCCGACTCCTACAAACAAAGAGGCCGCGATGGAGGTTGAAGATGAAGAAAAAAAAAGAAAAGAAAAAAAAATTAATAAAAATTCGAAAAATAAAAATAAAATTAAAATTTTAGTTCATGGTAAAATTGTCACATTGTCGGTTGGGATTTTTTTGGTATATTTAAAATTGTCACAAACCTTTGGGGTTTTTTGTGGTATGTTGAGGTAAAATTATGAATTGGGATTTTGGTGGTAAAAAAGGTATCCAGTAAAATTACAAGGTGACATTTGGGTGATTAACCTTAAACTATCAATTAACATCCAAGGTGATCAAGTAAAACACTCAATAATGCAAAGCAATAAATAAATTACAAGATAAGGACTCACCTCAAAGCAATGAAAGCATCTGTAATGTTAGTTAGAAAATCACATTGACAATCCTAGTACGATTTCTAATTAAAACGCAATTTCACTCAAATATTTTTTAGGGTTTTCTCTCATTTAACGAAAACTAAACTTTATGCAATACATTCTACGTCTAATATGACGTGCGACATACGATTTATTTAAATGTTCAAATTCTAACAACAATTAAATGCACTATCTGTAATGTGGCACGCAAATGAACCTAGACGTACGATTTCTAATGACACGCGAGCAATGGCACATGGCAAGGTATGAATGATGTGGCAAGATGACATGCAAGCATGATGCAATTAATCTATATGACATGCACATGGTATTTGTTATATTTTTTAGTTTAAATTCGGAATAAATAACTAACCTAATTTAAACATACAATAATAATATCTAAGAAAAGAATATAATCTATTTTAAGAAAATAATCAAAATTTATCCTAAACATGCAATATGTTATCTACTCAAATTTTACCTAATCTTTTTGTAATTTGTTTTTTATGGAAAGACAATCAATTCAATTCAAACAAAAGACGAAAAAAATAGCAGTGAACACGACACCCAATCCCAAGAAATATTATCCATATCCATTTAAATTTAGAAACAATAGATTGACAAATCATATCTCGGCAATGAGGATCGGATTGGCCAATCTTCCGCACAATCGCGAATCATATCTCGGGCGGGAGATCGGATTGACGATTTTCCGTGCGATCGCGAGTCATATTTCGAGCATGAAATCGGACTGTCGATCATGTACACGTTGTGAAATTAGGAAATAATTCCTAATTTAAAAGCTATTCGGGAACGTAATAGATATGATAATATCATTCAAAGATTCACACAGAATTGCAACATTTCAAATAAGGAAACAATATACTCAAAAGTCAAATTTTATGAGCTTTTTACCGAATTTGAATATTTGCTTTCCAAGTTTGAATGTCTCGGGATTGGACTAGTGGATCGGGATGGGGTGGACTGGTGATGGATCACGAGCGGCTCGTCTCGATGGTGGTCCACGGCCAAGGCTGGCTAGCAATGTGGATGCTCACGGTGAGGGATGCTCACGGAGATCTCGGCGGAGTTAGGCGCCGAGCTGCTACTTCATGGCTTCGTCATCAAAGGGAATCACAATAACCGGCAAGGAGATTTATCGGACTTCCCAGCAAGACCAAAGAAACTTGCAGATAATTCAAGTTGGATCCAACGAATTCTATTGACTTCGTTGGACCCACTGAACAAGAAAGCAAGACCAAGTGCTAGCAAACTGAACGTCACATAGGCACGATGGTGGCAGCAAAGATTCACTGGACTCGGTACAGAATTGCCGAGCGCACTGTAAATTCAATGGCAGGGAATCTACTGGACTTGACTGGGACTCGGCTGAGGAGCTTTGGATGTGGGGTGTCCACGGTGGAGAGTGCTCGATTCGATGGTCTCGGTCACGGTAGCAGCGACGTCAACATTAGGGAGCGTGGCGGTGTGAGAGCCCGACGATGCAGCGACTGGAAGCAGCAGCGCGCAGCGGCAGTATTGGGCTCGTTGGCGCGGGGACAGCAACGGCGGTAGGCGGAGATCGGCGCGGAAGCAACGGCGGCAGCAAGCTACTCACAGCCACAGGTCTGGCTGTGAGCAAGCGGCGCGGGCACGACGTTGAGGTGGCACGGGCACGAGGCGGTGCGGGCACGACGGTGAGGCGGCACGGGCATGAGGCGGCGCTTTCTCACTCTTGCTCTTTAATCTCGCTATTTCCTCACGTGTATCTATTGTCTTCTGAGAATTATCGGAGCTCCCCCTTCTCTTGTCTGTACGTGACCCTTTTATAGGTAGGGAGGTCCTAGATTTTCGAGGAAAGAGAATAAATCTGCTTTCCTCCTATGATTGTTTAGAATATATTACATTTCAATTCTTTCCCTTTCTTGCGACTTTTTCTTTCTGTTCACGCCACCGAAGACGTAAAGGCCTTCTTGATAGTGTCCAATATATTACTCAATATATGCCCCATGCTGACCAAATTCCCTTCGCTTCTTTCCCTCTTTTGTTATCATCTTTCCCTTTCTCTAACTTCACATGTGCAAAAATCGATTTTATTTCCTTCTCACCCCCTTTTAATCGTGGCTTCGCAATCTTTCCATGAATAATATGGCCAAGGATAAAATCACTCACTTTCTAATTTTTCTTCCTTTTTTCCTCTGCCCATGCCGAATGAATCTACCCAAATCAACTTTGCTCTTCTTCCATATTTATTCTTTGGGTTAATATGTGACCAAAAACCCTAAACTGGTACACTTGTGACACATTTACCCCAAATTATTTTTTTGACCATAAAAAAACCTCAAGCTATTTGTGACAATTTTACGAAAATACCACAAAAACCCAAATTGTAACATATGACAATTTTACCCGAATTAATTTTTAATATTATTTTTTTTTTTTTGAATTTTTCTTTTTTTTTCCTTCATTTTCAACCTTTGGCCGGTCGCGGTCCAGGCGGCATATCTGCAGGCAGAGGGCCGCCCTTGCCGGTGTCGGGTGAGGACCGCCCTCGTCGGATCCGGCGAGGCGACCTCGCCGATATCGGGCGGTGCCTCGCCGGATGGCGAGCGGCCGCCCTCACCGGCGTCGGGCGGCCTCGCTGCGTCGGGCGAGGCCGTCTCCACTTTGCCAAGGCAAGGGCGACCCCTCGCCGGCTCGAGCGAGGCGGCCCCGCCGCGCAAGTGAGGGTCGCCCTCGCCGGATTTGGCGAGGGCGACCTCGCACTGGTTGGGCGAGGCCATCTCGCCCGGGGCAAGGGCGACCTCGCCCGACTCGGGCGAGGCGGCCCTCGCCCGAGCAGCGAGGTCGCCTCGCCGGTCCGCTCGGACGACCCTTGCGGCGTCTGGGCGAGGGCGGCCTTCGCCCAAGCGGCGAGGTCGCCTCGCCGGCTTCCGCCTCAGCCGGTCAGCCGGGCCGGCCGGCAGTTTGAAAATGAAAAAAAAAGAAAAGAATAAAAATTCGAAAAAATAAAAATAAAAATATTAAAATTTTAATTGGGGTAAAATTGTCACATATATACCAATTTAGGATTTTTGTGTAAGTTCAGTAAAATTGTCACGTGTATCTGACTTTGATTTTGGTGCACATGGTCAAAAAAATAGTTCGAGATAAAATTGTCACGGGTGTGCCGGTTTGGGTTTTTATGGTCAAAAAATAGTTTGGGGTAAATGTGTCACAATTATGTCCGGTTTAGGGTTTTCGTGATATTAACCCTTATTCTTTCAAATAACCATGTGACCAAAAGATTTTCATGATATTTTCTCAATATCTCCTAATCCGTTGTGCCACACGCGCAACGCACATATCAATCTTGACCACTTGAGAGAATAACGGGTTTGGCTGAATTTTTAATTCACACGGGCTTGATCTAATTAATTCCATTGAGTTCAGAATCTCTTTACATGAGTCCATTTACTCCAGTTCAATTAAATTCTGTTAAGTCCATCCGCCACCGATCTAATGCAAATGCAATTATATAGGCCTAAATACTAATTCAAATGCTTCTAATCTATATGCAATTTAACTAATTTTTTTTTGTCTAGGGACTATGATTGATCCCTAATTTTTATGCAATTATTTTTAAATGGTGAGCCAAAATTTAGTATCAACACATCTATGCCAAGGTTCCCAATTCCTTGATTTTGCATCAGCCCACACGTCGTTGATTACACTTTGCGCAGCGGATTTAGTAACAAACTAATCCCCATTTGTTGGCTTGGGCAAGTTTCGTACCCCCTAGAACGGCGTGAGCCGAGCAATTCCTACACTCGTGGACTGAAATGTCTTACCCAAACCTCCTATAAGTTCCATTGCTATTTCTAGGTACTACTCCATCAACTGCTTCAGATGTATTTGGTAACTATTTTATTTTCGAAAATAATTTTTGCTCAGAAATGATTTTTTTTATTCTATTCCCGGAAACAATTTCTAAGCATATGAAGGCGTTTGGTAACCGCCCAAAATTTCTATTTTTGGAATAGACTAAAAACAGAAATGCATTTGCTAACTACACAAAATTTCTTTTTATTAATAATATTTTAAATTTTTTAATATTTCTTTCTTTCTTTTTTCCTTTTTTTTTCTTTTCTTTTTTTTCTTCTTCTCCTTCCTTGGCCCATGGCCTGCGACCGGCCACAAGCCAGGGCTGGCGAGGGCGTCGCGACCCTCACTGGCCACAGGCCAGGGCCACCCTCGCGGGCAAGGGTGAGGGCTCGACCCTCACGGCCTGAGCGAGGGCCTCCCTCGCCTAGGCTGTGAGGGTCCAGCCCTCGCTAGATCCGTGGCCGGTCGCCGGCCACAGGCCAAGAAAGAAAAAGAAAAAAAAAATCCTCTTATGTTTTTGATTCTTGTTCCCGGAATGAAGAATCAACTTTTTTTTTTATTCTTGATTCTGTTCCAAAATTATTTCTGGGAACAAATTTTTTCTCGGGAACAAAAAATTTACCAAACGGATTTCTGTTCTTTTTTTGTTTTCGGGAACAAAAGAATAGAATCGGGCACTGTTTGGCTAGTCACCAAACAGGGAGAAAATTGTCAAATCAGTCCTAAACCTATTGATTATTATTTGAGGCTGACCTCGCCGACAACTGGGTCGCGACGGCGAGGTCGGCCTTGCCGCTGTTGGGCCTCGCCTCGTCGTCGCCTGGTTCGCGACGGCGAGGTTGGCCTCGCCGCTGCTGGGCCTCGCCTCGCCCAGAAAAAAAAAGATTAAAAAATTGAAAAAAAATAATAATAAAAAATTACCACGTCACAGTTAGACGGACGGGCTGGCTGCCGGCGGAGGCCACGCGACGCCGGCCACCAAAAATTGGTCGGAAGGACTGAATTGGCAAGAATTAGAAAGGTTTAGGACTGAATTGGCAAAATTAAAAGGTTTAGGACTGAATTGGCCGCCGTACAATAGGTTTAGGACTGATTTGACAATTTCCCCCCAAACAGGCCAAGTATCCCGGGACAAGAATTCTCTATCCCAATTGATTTAAATTACACCTGAAGAAGGAGCCTCTCATCTTCATTGCATATCTTTAGAAGTTTTTATCTTTCTCTTATACAAATTGTTACAAGTTGTAAGTGCATTAACAGAGTTTCCATAAGAACATTCATGGGAAGTTGTACAATATAAGTGCTTCAAACAAGGTCTAAAAACCTCTCTTCCATTAGAACTTGGATGATTACAACACAGAAAACCAACTGGTCATTACCAACCAAGTTAGTATATGGTGCTGAGAACTGAAAAAAGAGGAAATTACAACCAACGTGGATGATTACAACTGAAAAAAACTAACTGGACATTAACATCCGTGTTGGTACATGGTTCAAACGATAGAAAAGAGAGAAATCGGTAAACAACTCCAATGATCACAGCACAGCCGTTACAGCACTATGTCGTTGTTCCATTAGTCTTTGTAGTGGCTGCCACACCGAGTCCTTCCTTATTATCTCTGTGCTATAAAGAGATTGAAAAAGGAGAAAAGAAATATTAAAGCATCAGTATACTCCATTTTGGAATCGTCAGTAACAGCATTTCACAAGAACCAGCTCACTAATATTCGATAACAAATATCATCTCGAAACTGAGTAACTTTACATAGTGAAATCTTCGGTAAAAGCTTCACCAATTAACTACGATTGAAAAACAATAAGCAAATCAAGCAGTAACAAATTGACTACATTAAATAACGCTTCAGCAACTGAACCAAGCATTATAGTGCGAGACTGAATCGAGCACGACGAACCCTAGAATTCGCTCCAAATGTGACTTCACCCGGCAACCGAGAGAAGACGCTGTGACTTTGAACAAATCGAGCTTCGAAGCTTTATTCTGAATTACTGAATTAACAATTCAGAAGAACCCTATCCCGAAACTTCACCGCAACACATTTGCCCAATTTCTGAATCAAAACCCTAACTCGCATTCACCCCATTACGTGTCACACCCCGAAACCTATCATGATGGAGAATGACACGGCCATCCTTCCACCCGAAGGACGTAGCCTCAAATCACCCAAAAGTCCCCACGACATCACTCTCGCTCTATTGGCTATCAACCAAATAACCTGAAGAAAGGGGTGAGCAATCACAGCTTAGTAAGTAGTGTCTATCTCTTCTAAGCAGATCGAACAACCACTATACATACAGTTGTAAAACCAAACCAAAGCTTATTTAACCCAACTCCAGCATATAATAAACACCAAGGTCAAAATACGTTCTATACTACTTTAACATAACACTTTCACAATAGGAATGCTCATTTTAAATCAATAATATCAAAGCAGAAATCAATGGTCCATTCCATTGGCCAATCTCGTCAAAAAACACACACCAATGATCCATTCTATTGGCTAATCTCATCGACAAATACACGCTAATGGTCCATTCCATTGGCAATCTCATCGAAAAACACACGCCAATGGTCCATTCCATTGGTCAATCTTATACTCAGAAATCTAACTATGATCACGGAATAACGCCCCGTGAAAAGGCGACTAAGATTCCCCCTTGGCAAGGTCTCCACCTACTATAAGCTGATGGCTCGGCCCACAAGGATATCCTAGACTAGTATGGGCATACCCACAAACCTTCATTGGTTTACAGAGACATTAAGCATCAAAGACTTATCTTCAACAATATCCTCCATAATGCCAAATCCAGAAATCATTTCATAACCCATTTCATAAATCACAATATAGTTCCAAAATCATTTCATAATCCATTTCATAAATCACAATACATTTCCCAAACTAATCACATAACCTTTCGTAACTCAATTCATCCGATAGAAATTCTTTTTCGTAAAGCGTTTCTCATATCATTACATAAACATAATTCACAAAACGATATGTATAACATTTAATGATATCTTCCATAAAATGTTTCTCAAATCATCTTAAAACTTGTTTCATGAATCAATTCGCAACATAATACACATATATCCGTTAACAATATTTTTCTTAAACCCATTCTCAAATCTTTCTCAAATATCAAAAGGTGGTAATTGCCTGATCCAGGATTTTATGCAACAAACATACTTTATTAACTCGTACGATTGCTCAAATCCTTATCACCTTCAAAACATGAGTTTATAAACTCAAAGAAGAGATAGTACTACTCACCTGAGAATGCCTACAATCAAACGACAAAGATTACTCGATCCGTCAAACTCGCAATTCTAACAAATAAGCAAGAAACAACGTTAACATCGAGTAAAACGATACCTCAACTACGACTCTGCTAAACTAAACTTAGACGCTAACATAATGACTAAAAGGTGCCCACAAATCGCTCACCCAAAGCGATTACTCAAAGCTGTCTGCAACGCGGAGCTTGAACGCGAAACTTGGTTGCGTCATAACTTTTTCCACCAAACTCCGTTCCAAGTGAGCTTATAATCAAAAGAAAGCCCATTCATAGCACTACAAGAACCCCGGCTTGGCTGACCCAAAAGCGGGTTAAAGGCAACGAAAATAGGCATGGAAATCTACTGTCACACACTGTTCATCACGCGCGCTTAAGAGCTCCCGGTCTCCCTTTTAACCACGTTCCCAATTACTACTTTGTTGACTGAGTCAACACTTTTTTTTTTTTTTTGCTTTTCTCCTTTGATTGGGTCAAAACCCATATATTACGTTATGAATTCCGAAAGTTGCATCTTCATCCATCCACAATAACATTTTCGTTGAAATGATCAACGGAAACAACAATAAAAAAAAATAAGGTATTATCAATTGAACCGGACTTTGATCGATGGATGGGAGAAGTGAATCGAGCACGCCGGGCCTCAAGTAAGCCAGCGTGTTGGTGGCGAGGAAGCCGGCGCTGACCGGTGGCTTCCTCTCAACCCTGTAGCACTCGCTCAGATCGTGGAGCGCGAGGAGCAGAATCATCCCTCTGGACCTTCCTCTCCGGTCCATCGTCTTTCTCCAATTGTCTCGGTAAAGCCTCTGAGCTCACAGGTGTGAGTTTCGGATCACGAATCTGGGACGATGCGAATGGAAGGCATGATTTTTTGAGCTGGCACAGTCGAACTAGAAAGAGAGGGAGAGACGATACAAGAAATTTCTTCCTTGTTCTGCTTCTTGCTTTTGGTCTGCTTGCCTTGTTTCAGAGAGCCAAATCATCGCAACACAAGAAAGAAAAAGATAAAAAAAGAAAATCAACCCAGAATTTTTTGGACAAAAATGACCCTTCTTCGGTGACCGGAACAATCACATGACCGCCGGCTGGCGAAGATTTGGCCGGTCTATGAGTTCAGATCCTTATTTGAGACTAATTTAAGACTAATTTGTCACTTTAGGTCCTTATTTGAGACAATGTCCACTATGAGCTCTTATTTGAGAAAATAACTCCACTTCAAGCCCTTATTTAAAATTTTGTAATTGTTTTAATGGTAATGATACTGCCTTCAATCCAATACTGGGGACTATAAGTCGAACAACGTTGCTAGACCAAAAACATAAAATAATTAGTGTAGGAGAACTTGACTTGAGATTATGAGTAAATGTGTTTTACCATCAAAGGGAGGTGAAAAGACGTCATTGCCTTATTCTGTCTCTATAAAAAGAGAACCACTCAAAGTTCAGGGGCGTTTGCAACTGGTGAGCTTCATTCCATCGAGTCCTCCTAAGAGCTCCACATTTCTTCCTTCGGTACGCTACTTGCAGTTTTCATTTGTTTGCTATTGTGATTGCAGCTCTTGATTACTCTTCCGAACAATTTGTTGCAGTAGTTCTACGTTTCCTTCCACTAATTCTTTGCTTTGCTTTCCGACGTCTAGAGAAGCTATAGATCACATTCGCTTTATGTGTCTCACTCTGTTCGTACTTTTTTGAACTGGATGCCATTAGATGATTCCTTTGTTTTTCACTCATACATCCCCGAATCTCTGTAGGAATAGACTTGATTCATCTTCGACTGTCTAGGAAAAAGGTGAATTATATGCAGATCAAATTATCTTGCATGACGGTTAAAGTTCAAAGCTAGGCTTCTGAGGAGCAGTTGCTTGATTCTCTACATCAGACACCCGTTTCAGGCGGTGAGCTTTCATAGGATTTTGAGACATTGATCACAATGGAGTCCAAATTCCCTGAATTCACTTCCCCTGTTGACGGTTTCAAGGATGATAGCCTCACTCACCCAGCCATTTCCTATCATTCCCGAAATCTCTGTAATGCAGTCATAATCAATGAACCTCCTGTTATTTCCAACTCTGCAGAAATGATTTCTCTCCCGCACCAACCCGAACCCATATATTATGTACCATCTGTTCCCATTAACCTCGATGGAGACCTGAATCTTCCATCAACAGATACAAGACCCAATTTAGGGATGCTTCAACATTCGACTAGCTCCAGTGACAGCCCAAATAAAGGGGGGGAGTCACTTTCCCTCTCAGATCACAGCAATTCAACGGATCCTGTTCTCAAATACATAAATCAAATGCTTATGGAAGAGAATATGGAGGAGCAACCCTGGTTCGTTCCCAACATCGTGGCTCTACGGCATACAGAAAAGTCCTTGTATGATGCACTCGGCAAGAAATACCCAGATTCCCCCGAGCAAACCGAACAGGCTGATACCAATCAGGTCATTAACAGCTCAAGTTGTAATCCTTGGGGAAGCAGCGGTGATCAAGGAAGTAAGGGCACTACCAGCACCAGCTTTAACTCTTTCCATCCTCTGGATCCCAATTCACATGATGATCCGGAAGGAAATGATGATGCTTCCATTCATGCCAACAGTCCTGGTGACGTAGTCTTGCAGCCAAACATGGATCGCAATATTCAGTCCTACATCAATTCCGTAAACAGCTTGCCTAATTATGGGGATAAGTTTTGTTACTCGGTTCCAAGGGAGCTACTAATTAGGCATGTCTTCAACAGCAATGAGTCTGTCCTGGAATTTAATAAAGGGTTAGAGGAGGCCAGGAAGTTCATCCCTAGTAGCATTCATAGAACTATCAATCAGGAGAAAGATGGATTGGCTCCAACGATCAGAGAGAAGGAAGAAATTGGCATCGATGGTAGCAATCAGTCAGAGATTGGGTCAAGGGGGAGAAAGAATCATGAAAGGCATTATGCCAGGTTCGAAGAAGGGCGGGCCAACAAGCAATTGGCTTCGTACAGTGAAGACTCTGAGCTTTCAGATTTGCTTGAAAAGTTGTTGCTCAGCAACAAAAATGGGGGGCTCCTATCATTAGAGTGCAAATCGGAGAAGTCAAGTGAAATCAAGGATCGTCATGATCCTAATGGTATTGGATTTCGTAGTAAGAAGAAGGGAAACGAGAGCGCATCGGACTTCGGGAATCTTCTGACTCTCTGTGCACAAGCTGTCTCTACTAATGACTTCAAGACCGCTCGTGAACTGCTAAGGCAAATAAGACAAGATTCATCCCCCTCCAGTGATGGTTCCCGAAGGGTAGCCCACTACTTTGCCAATGCTCTGGAAGCACGCCTTGCAGGCAGTGCTGGTAGAAGTCGAGCTTTTTACTATTCCGTTATCCAGAAGAGATCGGTAGCTGATAAGTTGAGAGCATACCAACTTCATCATTCAGCCTGTGCATTCCCGAAATTCTCAATCCTCTTCTCAAACTACATGATTTTGAAAGCAGCAGAAACAGCAACAGTGCTTCATATCATAGACTTTGGTATTAATTTTGGTTTCCAATGGCCAATCCTTATCCAACAGCTCTCAAAGAGAACCGGAGGGGTTCCGAAGCTGCGAATCACAGGAATAGAGCTTCCACAACCTGGATTTCGTCCTTATGAAAGAATTGATGAAACAGGTTGCCGTTTGACCAAGTATTGTGAGCGCTTTCATGTACCTTTCGAATTCCAAGCGGTAGCTTCAGCAAGCTGGGAATGTATCAAAGTTGCAGATCTCAACATTCGTAGTGACGAGGTGGTTGCCGTGAATTGTCTTGCTCGATTTGAGCATCTCTATGAAGAGACAGTTGAGGTGAACTGTCAGCGAGATATGGTCTTAAACCTCATCAGGAGTATGAAACCTCATGTCTTTATTCATGGTATAAGAAACGGATCCCACAACGCTCCATTTTTCGTAACAAGATTCCGTGAGGCTCTTTTTCACTTCTCTACGATTTATGATATGTTTGACACTACCGTAGTACATGACAATGTACAGAGGTTGGTTCTGGAGAGAGATTTCTTTGGGCGAGAGATTATGAATATTGTGGCATGTGAAGGAATGGAGAGGGTTGAGAGGCCCGAAACATATAAGCAGTGGCAAGTTCGTCTTACCAGAGTTGGTTTCCAGCAGCTTCCTCTGGATCAGGAGTTCATAAAGAAGGCTAGGGCTAAGTTGAGTGGAGATTACCACAAGGATTTCATGCTTGATGAAGAAAACAACTGGATGCTTATTGGTTGGAGGGGTCGGATAATTTCCGGTTGCACCTGTTGGTCATTAGCGTAGTTCATTCCGAAAGTATGTTTTCTATCATAATAAGCCACGACTTGAGAAATTCTTCCTGAATTGCCAGATGAGTATCATGTGCAAGAGACGCTGAGGTGCTGCTCATTTTCCTATCTCATCTATGTACGCTTGCTTTACATTACCATGTATCAGCTAGTTTGCTTCTCTTTGGATAATCATTTGTGATGCCGAAACGCGATAGAAAATTTGACTGAACAAGAAAATTCGACAGAAGAACAATTCGTTCTCCAAATATGATTATCAAATCAAAAATATTCAAAGTCTTCTCAAACGAAACCCTAAAATAAGCTTATATAGCCCCAAACCTAACCCTACTAGGATTAGTAAACATCAAAACGTAAAATTACAAAAATACCCTTAATTCGAAAATTACTAAAATAATTAAAAAAAACCATCTAAACGATCCCGAATCGCGAAAATTCATCGTTAGTCGTAGCCATAGGCTACAAGTATTGATCAGCACGCCGTTTCGCTTCAACCGACCAAATTTGAACTCAATCCGACATCGTTGACTTCAAACCCTCCAGTTCGTCCAGTCGCATAACAGGTCCGCCGGTCCCCTAGGTGCATCATCCTCCCCTGCTAGGGAAAGATTCGTCCTCGAATCTGCTTCGTCCTCATTGTTATCAATCTCTTCAGGGTCTTCTTCCTCTTCAGTATAGTAAGGTGACAAATCTGCTACATTAAAAGTTCCAGAAACATTGTGCTCACCCGGCAACCCAGGTGGTAACTCTTCCGGTACGACATCAGCTAACTCCTCAAGCAAGGGCAGAACTTGGGTAGGAATTTCGAGACTGTCAGAATTCCGCTCCATCACCACAATGGCAAAAAGCTTAGGCGTGTTCACTGCCTCTTCTTGAAATTCTGACTTGGACAGCAGATTATTCTTCACTTCCTTTCTGAAATCTGAAGGACCTACGGTAATGGTTCGGCCATCCTTCTTGAAGGCATAGGTATTTCTGAAATCATCATGCTGTGTCTTTCTGTCAAACTGCCACGGCCTCCCCAATAAAATATGGCAAGCATCCATTGGGACTACATCACACCATACCTCATCGATGTAATTTTTTCCAATCGAAAATTGCACAAGACACCTTTTGCTCACCTTCACCTCGTTCCCTTTTCTAAGCCACGACAGCTTGTATGGTTGAGGATGATCTTCTGTTTTTAACCCCAACTTTTCCACCATAGTCGTAGACACCACATTCTCGCAACTCCCACTATCTATTATCATGCTGCATACTTTTCCTCTACTAGTGCACTTAGTATGAAAAATATTATGTCTAAGCCACGACTCATCATCTGCTACAACAACATTCAATATTCTTCTAACGACTAGGGACTCACCAGAATCAGCATAGATAATCTCTTCCTGTTCCGCATCCGCATCCTCTTCTTCGCCTTCAGATTCATCATAAACTGGACCTTCATCAAAGACTGGATTATCAACAAGCGTCACAATCTGTCGGTTCGGACAATCAGCAGCAAAATGCGCGAATCCCTGACACTTGAAACACCGCTTGGCTGCAGTTCCTCCCCTGCTAGTTCCAGCACTACTCTGCCCCTCCTTGGATGCAGGTTTAGAAATCGCATCCTTAACTGCGACTGGTGTCGAATTTACTGCAGATGTTCCCGCTTTTCCTTGGGATTCTTTTATTTGACCACTTGGAACTGCTGCCTGACCACTTAGAATTACTACTCTTTCTTTTAAACTGCCCCTCCACCTTTAGGGCTAATCTGCACACATCCTCATATGTCCAATACTGCTGTAATTGGACAACATCAGAGATCTCATATCGCAGCCCTGCCAGATATCGTGCAATCGTCTGCTCGTCTTCCTCCGCCACATCACAACGCATCCGCAAGCGATCAAATTCTTCTGTAAATTCCTCAACTGTTTTATCACCTTGCTTGACGTTATGATACTCGATAAACGCCTCTTGCCTATAATGGGTAGAAAAAAAAAAATTCTGCAATAACTTTTTCATCTTATCCCAGCGATCCACCTTCGGCTTCCCCTCTCTAGCGCGTTGCTTTTTCACGTGTTCCCACCAAATCGAAGCATGTTTTCGCAGCCTAATAGCCACTAACTTCACTTTTTGCCCCTCAGTTAGGTCTTTAAGATAAAAAAATCCGTTCTACCGTATGCAACCAATCAATAAACTCATCAAGATGAGCCTTACCATTAAACTCGGGAATCTCGATCTTCATTCCGAAATTTTGATAAGAGCGTTGATTTCCAGGTCGTACTCGTCGATTCCGCCCCTGATTCAGAACCCCGAAAGGGTTTACGTCCTCCTCTTCATCATCGGATGGATCCTCAGATTCCGCTCCTTCTTCGGATTGAACGCCCAACCTCGCCTCCGCAAGTTGTTGCTCTAAATCCTGGATTCGTCTTCTCTGTTCTTCAATTTCTACGTCTCGCAGATCTCTTAGACGCGGTTGGTCGTCTGTTTCCGGAACGCCTCCACGCCCCCGGCCACCACGAGCCCGCCGTCCACGACCGCGATTCTGTTCAGCCATTGATTCAAGCAACCTGTGCTCTGATACCAATTGATGCCGAAACGCGATAGAAAATTTGACTGAACAAGAAAATTCGACAGAAGAACAATTCGTCCTCCAAATATGATTATCAAATCAAAAATATTCAAAGTCTCCTCAAACGAAACCCTAAAATAAGCTTATATAGCCCCAAACCTAACCCTACTAGGATTAGTAAACATCAAAACGTAAAATTACAAAAATACCCTTAATTCGAAAATTACTAAAATAATTAAAAAAACCATCTAAACGATCCCAAATCGCGAAAATTCATCGTTAATTGTAGCCTTTGGCTACAAGTATTGATCAGCACGCCGTTTCGCTTCAGCCGACCAAATTTGAATTCAATCCGACATCGTTGACTTCAAGCCCGCCGGTTCGTCCAGTCGCATAACGGGTCCGCCGGTCCCCTAGGTGCATCAATTTGATTCTTCCTTGCAGATCATAAGAAGAAGCCAACACAATATAGTCAAATCTTATAAAGGTCAAGCATAATTGCTGTAAATCATCTCAACAGAAGATGTTACAGGAGAAGGATCTCAGCCCAATGCCGTTTTGGGCAGAACTACGATAGACAAAACTTATTTAGTAGGAGGATTTCAATCAAAGATTTTGGATTATTGTGTGGAAGACATCTTTATTAGTGTGTGTTATACATGTAGTGCATTGCCAACTCCACAAGTTTGTTTCTTGCGGAGGCATAGAGCCTCTGCTTCTTGTTTGTGGTTTGGGCGAAAGAAGTTTCATGCGAAATGTTGCATTACTTCTCCGAACGAATGGAATTGTTTCTTGGCTCTTCCGTAGCAGAGCATTGGCCTTAGATTAAACAACTTAAATTATACTTGCTAGTTTTATTTGTCTGTAATGTATCTTTGCTATGAGCTCAGCCGTTTCATTTTTTAGGCTGACGCGATTGCTTTTATCTTGAAGTACAATGTAAGTCTTTGATTTATTTTGCCATTGCGCTGGAAGCACACCTTGCTGGCAGTGTCAATCTAAGTCGAGCTTTATGTCTTTAAGTCAAGAATAGATTGATAGCTAAAAAGCTGAAAGCATACCAACTCCATAATTTGGCCTGTCCACTTACAAAATTCTTAATCATGTCTGCAAACTTCATGATTTTGAAATTAGCAGCGACAGCGGAGGTGCTTCACATATTAGACTTTGGTATCAATTTTGGTTTTCAATGGCCAATCCTTATCCAGGAGCTCTCGTGGAGAACTGCAAGAGCGCCTGAGCTACGAATCACACTAATAGAGCTTCCACACTCTGGATTGCGTCCAGCTGAGAGACTTGATAAAATAGGACACCGTTTGGCATACTATTCTGAGTGCTTTCTTATTCCCTTCGAATTCCATGCCGTAGCACAGGGAGCTGGGAATGTATCAGAGTTATGATCTCACGATTTTAAGAGGCGAGATGGTTGCAATGAATTGTCTTTCTTCATTTAAGCATCTCTTTGAAAAGACAGTTGAGGTGAACTGTCAGCGAGATGCTGTCTTAAGGCTAATCTGATGTATGAAACCGAATGTCTTTGTTCTTGTGGATCCTACAATGCGCCCTTTTTCATAACTAGATCCCGCGAGTTCTTTTTGACCTTTCTATATGAAGGATATGTTCTATGCTACCATTGCTAGTGATGACGAACAGAGGGTGGTTTTGGAGAGGGAACTCTATGGGTGAGATTGTGAATGTCGCGGCATGCGAAGGTTTACAGAGGATTGAAAGGCCTGAAACGCATAGGAAGTGGCAAGCTGGTCTTACCCGTGCTGGTTTCAGCTAGCTTCCTCTAGATTAGAAGCTCATGAATAAAGCCAGGGCTAAGTTTAGTGGCTGTTACCACAATGATTTCATGCTTAACGAAGAAAGCAACTGAATGATGCTTGGTTGGAGAGGCCACATGATTTGTGGTTGCACCTGTTGGGTTACCAACATCGCTTCCTTTTCACAAAGAAAAGGGCAGTAGGGGTGGGGGATGACAAACAATACTAGCGACTCTCTTTAAACGTTACCATAAGGAACAAATACCCGTTTCAGAATGTTTTGATTGGGCCATAACTACTACGCATTTTAAAGCATATTTGTCTAACATGACAACCCTCAATAGGCGACGAATATATGCAAGAGAGGCTCAGAGAAAGAATGTTCATTCTCAGGTTTCACTTAAGCATGCTTGCATTATGCCTAGCAAAGAGAAGGTATGATGGCATTATGTGCGCATTTACTGGCTGGTCATCTTCTTTTTAGATAATCATGTGATTCTTCCTTTGCAGATAAATTGGTGAATTAAATACACTCTTGTGAAATGGGTCAAGGGTCGAATAAATGCCTGCAAATCATTTCATCAACTGATATTGGTGGAAGGATCTCAAGCAAGTCACTTTTGGGCAGAACTAGTGCAGGATCTCACCCAAATGCACCATTTTTAGCAGAAGGAAGATCTCAATTAAATTTAGTGCCCGTTGTTGGAAGACACCGTTTCGGGTGGTCGATAGAGGAGGGTTGTCTATGTAGTGCAGAGCCAACGTGATAAGTCTTTTTGTTAATAACATCGTGTACTTTAAGCATAACGGTGTCTTATGTTTGTTAGTTCATTTCAATATATGGGGCTCTGTTATGATATTGGCTGATGTGCCGGCACTTCTTGCTTTATTTCTCTCAACGGGTGGAATTGTCTGTTAGCTTTTCTGTAGCAATGATATTGATATTAGCGATTTTGCATTGTTATTTCCATGTATGTTTGTTTAACAATTTAGTCATTTCTTTTCTAGTTGGAGATGATTCAATTAGCTAGTGTTCTATCTTAACATCACCTGAAGTTTTGAAAAATTAATCAGTTTCCTTATGGAGCTATAGGAACAATATAATTGATCCTGCACATTTGCTTTAATATTCCTGTCCAGTTGTTCAGGTACAATCACTTTAAGTCAGTTTAAAACATGTCCTCATCTAAACTGAAGTAAGCAAATTCTCTCTTGATAACCCTCACATTGACTTAGTAAACTCAATCATCTCTTCCAATGGTCAACGGGATAGAGCTTTAAGCTGTTGTTTAGGTCCTCATATCTAATTTGGTATATAGTGAATGTGACTACCTGTCGAGTGTGAAAGTGGGCTCTCATCCATGTTTGAACGAAGCTGGACCTGTGAATGGAGTGTGCAAGTCCAAGCACACCCATCTTCCTTTTGAACTCCTCAAAGTGCATTTTGATTATCGACTTTATGTATCTAGTTTGCTGTCATGTCGATAAAGGAACACTGATTCTTGTGGTATATGGATTCTAAAGGGATCATAATACAAATTCTAGCAAGGACCAATAACGTTCAATACTTGAAATGTCGCAAATTCCTTCCCTTTTTCTTCCTTCTGATTATGTTAGTTTCATAAGTCACAAGGATTAAATAACTGAAATCTAGGGAGTATCTGATAAGAAAGCTTAGTACAAACTATTCATGAAAAACCAATAGAAAAAATATTTGTGCAATGTAAGAGACAATCCAGATTGGACGAAACTTTATCTGATTCTAGAACTGCAATTATCTAGGGCAAGCCTATTAATCTCACGTGCCATTCAAATTTGGGCAAATACGTCTCTTTGACTAATGGAAACCTCATTCTCAACAACAGCAGCCATTCACTGTACCAGAAAACGTCATCCTTTCAACAAATTGTTCTCCTTAGAGGGTAATATTAAACATTTATTAATGACTACAAGAGTCCCATATGATGGGTGAATTCTGATCGGGTCCACAGGTGTTGCAATTGTTTTATGGTAATGATACTGCCTTCACACCAACACTGGGGACATATAAGTCAAACAACGTTGGTAGACCATAAACATAAAATAATTAGTGTAGGTGAGGTAGACTAGAGATTATGGGCAAATGTGTTTTACCATCAAAAGGAGGTGAAAAGATGTCATTGCCTTATTCTGTGTCTACCAAAAGAGAATCACTCAAAGTTCAGGGTGTTCGCAACTCGTGGGCTTCATTCCATTGAAACCTCCTTAGAGCTCCACAATTCTTCCTTTGGTACGCTACTTGCAGTTTTCATCTGTTTGCTATTGTGATTGCAGCTTTTGATTACTCTTCGGAACAATTTGTTCCGGTAGTTCTAGGTTTCCTTCCACTGATTCTTTGCTTTGCTTTCCAAAGTCTAGAGAAGCTAGATCACATTCGCATGAACGATTCAAATTTTCGCGTCTCACTCTGTTCATGCTTCTTGAACTGGATGAGTGGATGCCATAAGATGATTCCTCCGTTTTTCGTTTGTACGTCCCCGTATCTCTGTAGGAATAGACTTGAAGCATCTTAGACTGTTAGGGGATTCGACTGTCTAGGGAAAAAGTGAATTATATGCAGATCAGATTGTCTTACATGACGGTTAAAGTTCAAAGCTAGGCTTCGAACGAGCAGTTGCTTGATTCTCTACATCAGACACTCGTTTCAGGCGGTGAACTTTCGTAGGATTTTGAGACAGTAATCACAATGGAGTGCAACTTCCCTGAATTCACTTCCCCTGTTGACGGTTTCAAGGATGATAGCCTCACTCACCCAGCCATTTCATATCATTCCCGAAATCTCTGTAATGCGGTCATAATCAATGAACCTCCTGTTATTTCCAACTCTGCAGATATGACCTCTCTCCCGCATCAACCCGAACCCATATATTATGTACCATCTGTTCCCATTAACCTCGATGGAGACGTGAATCTTCCATCAACAGATACAAGACCCAATTTAGGGATGCTTCACCATTCGACTAGCTCCAGTGACAGCCCAAATAAAGGGGGGGAGTCACTTTCCCTCTCAGATCACAGCAATTCAACAGATCCTGTTCTCAAATACATAAATCAAATGCTTATGGAAGAGAATATGGAGGAGCAACCCTGGGTCGTTCCCAACATCATGGCTTTACGACACACCGAAAAGTCCTTGTATGATGCACTTGGCAAGAAATACCCAGATTCCCCTGAGCAAACCGAACGGGTTGATACCAATCAGGTCATTAACAGGTCAAGTTGGAATCCGTGGGGAAGCAGCGGTGATCAAGGCAGTAATGGCACTACCAGTACCAGCTCCAACTCTTGCCATCCTCTGGATCCTAATTCACATGATGATCTGGAAGGAAATGATTATGTTTCCATTCATGCCAAAAGTCCTGGTGATGTGGTCTTGCAGTCAAACGTGGATCGCAAATTTCAATCCTCCATCAATTCTGTAAACAGCTTGCCTAAGTATGGGGATAAGTTTTGTTACACAGTTCCAAGTGAGCTACTAATTAGGCATATCTTCAACAGCAATGAGTCTGTCCTGCAATTTAATAAAGGGTTAGAGGAGGCCAGCAAGTTCATCCCTAGTAGCATTCATATAACTATCAATCAGGAGAAAGATGGAGTGGCTCCAACCATCAGAGAGAAAGCAGAAATTGGCATCGATGGTAGCAATCAGTCAGAGAATGGGTCAAGGGGGAAAAAGAATCATGAAAGGCATTATGCCAGGTTCGAAGAAGGGCGGGCCAACAAGCAATTGGCTTCGTACAGTGAAGACTCTGAGCTTTCAGATTTGCTTGAAAAGTTGTTGCTCAGCAACAAAAATGGGGGGCTTCTATCGTTAGAGTGCAAATCGCAGAAGTCAAGTGAAATCAAGGATCTTCATGATCCTAATGGTATTGGGTTTCATAGTAAGAAGGAGGAAAACAAGGGCACATCAGACTTGAGGAGTCTTCTGATTCTCTGTGCACAAGCTGTCTCTACTAATGACTTCAAGACCGCTCGTGAACTGCTGAGGCAAATAAGACAAGATTCATCCCCCTCCAGTGATGGTTCCCGAAGGGTAGCCCATTACTTTGCCAATGCTCTGGAAGCACGCCTTGCAGGCAGTGCTGGTAGAAGTCAAGCTTTTTACTATTCCGTTGTCCAGAAGAGATCGGTAGCTGATAAGTTGAAAGCATACCAACTTCATTATTCGGCCTGTCCATTCCCGAAATTCCAAATCCTCTTCTCAAACTACATGATTTTGAAAGCAGCAGAAACAGCAAAAGTGCTTCATATCATAGACTTTGGTATTAATTTTGGTTTCCAATGGCCAATCCTTATCCAGGAGCTCTCAAAGAAAACCGGAGGGGTTCCAAAGCTGCGAATCACAGGAATAGAGCTTCCACAACCTGGATTTCGTCCTGCCGAAAGAATTGAGGAAACAGGTCGCCGTTTGACCAAGTATTGTGAGCGCTTTAATGTACCTTTCGAATTCCAAGCGGTAGCTTCAGCAAGCTGGGAATGTATCAAAGTTGCAGATCTCAACATTCGAAGTGACGAGGTGGTTGCCGTGAATTGTCTTTCTCGATTGGAGTATCTCTATGACGAGACAGTTGAGATGAACTGTCAGCGAGATATGGTCTTAAACCTCATCAGGAGTATGAAACCTCATGTCTTTATTCATGGTATAAGAAACGGATCCCACAACGCACCATTTTTCATAACAAGATTCCGCGAGGCCCTTTTTCACCTCTCTACGATTTATAATATATTTGACACTACCGTAGTTCATGACAATGTACAGAGGTTGGTTCTGGAGAGAGATTTCCTTGGGCGAGAGATTATGAATATTGTGGCATGTGAAGGTATGGAGAGGGTTGAGAGGCCCGAAACATATAAGCAGTGGCAAGTTCGTCTTACCAGGGTTGGTTTCCAGCAGCTTCCTCTGGATCAGGAGTTCATAAAGAAGGCTAGGGCTAAGTTGAGTGGAGATTACCACAAGGATTTCGTGCTTGATGAAGAAAACAACTGGATGCTTCTTGGTTGGAGGGGCCGGATAATTTCCGGTTGCACCTGTTGGTTATCAGCATAGATTATTCCGAAAGCATGTTTTCTTTCATAATAAGCCAAGACGAGAGAGGTTCTTCCAGAATTGCCAGGTGAGCATCATGTGTGAGAGATGCTGAGGTGCTGCTCATTTTCCTATATCATCTATATATGCTTGCTTTACATTTCTGTGTATCAACTAGTTAGCTTCTCTTTGGATAGTCATTTGATTCTTCCTTGCAGATCATAAAAAGAAGCCAACACAATATAGTCAAATCTTTTGAAGTCAAGTATAATTGCTGTAAATCATCTCAAAGAAGATGTTACAGAAAAGGATCTCAGCCCAATGCCGTTTTGGGCAGAAATATGACAGACGACACTTAACTTGCAGGAGGATTTCAATCATAGATTTGGGGTAGTTGTGTGGAAGACATCTTTATTAGTGTGTGTTATACATGTAGTGCATTGCCAACTCCATAAGTTTATATCTTGCAGAGGCATAGAACCTCTGCTTCTTGCTTGTGGTTTGGGCGAAAGAAGTTTCATGCGAAATGTTGCATTACTTCTCTGAACGAATGGAATTGTTTCTTGGCTCTTCCGTAGCATAGCATTGGCCTTAGATTAAACAACTTCGATTATATTTGCTAGTTTTATTTGTCTGTTATGTATCTTTGCTATGAGTTCAGCCGTTTCATTTTCTAGGCTGACGTGATTGCCTTAGCTTAAAGTACGATGTAAGTCTTTGATTTACTTTCACAGCCTGACCTATTATTTTGGGCAGCCTTTTGTTGGAACTCTACGTATCATATACTTCATCTCCTCCAAGTTTAAATCATTTCCACCGATTCTTGCAACTGGAGCGAACCTTTTACTGGTTCAACGTGTCTTTCCACTCGTTGGGTTTCAAGAAATACACATTTCACAGCTGCCCTTGAGTCCGATTACCACATGTCCTTGTCCATCCTTAAGTGAGCAAACGCTTCCAATCATCATCCTCACAGAAACTCAGAAGCAATCATCTTTACCAAGTCCAAGTACCAATGCGAGATAATGGAGCTTCGACCTATAGTCAGTCCTTATATCTGATTAACTAACGGGAAATGTGACGTCATATGCTTAGATCCACCTAGTCAAGTTCCAGTGTATGTAGGCTGCGAATCCATGATTTGACCATAACGGGATAGGGTCATTCAGTGTCACTACCCGAAGCCCCACCCTGAAAACTGAGATTCGATCAGTGAGGGAGAAGTCTATACTTTTGCAAGAATCAATGCCGTTTCAGAATTCTTGAAGTGCTGATCTGTTTCTCATGGACTAAATTTATGAAGTTTGCAGTCTCCATGGCAATGAAGGTATGTTGGTCGTAACTACTTCTGATATATGGATGCACTGCAAACGACCCCTAAAAATGCCAATTCTAATAAGGGCCAACAAGATTTCCAAATGAAATGTCACAAGTGACGGCACTGGTAAAATCCAAGAAGTTGAGGCTTCTCGCAAGTATCAAGAACATCTCAATAAGTTCAACGCAGTAACTATCACAACGAGGCCCACATTTGGTAAACTAAATAAGAGACATTCAGCCAAAATGATTATTTTCTAGTTGCCAAGTCCCAAGATTTTGTGCAGATAAGACTTTCTTAGATCCAGTTAAGTGTGCAGCAAGATTTGCAATTTCTACTGATTGTTCAACAACATCAATCTTATCTTGCAGGCACAATTTCTTTTCCACTTCCCCCTCCGGTTATTGCTGGTTTTGAGAATCACAAGCGTTAAACATCAGAAAAAACATCAAGAATGATACATGAAGGCAACTTTTTTTTGTTTTTGGTCTGATATGAAGGCAATTTAGCAAGCATAAAATGTACTGCAAGTGAACATTCAATTTAGAAAGGATGAATCTTATCTAAAACTGAGACTTTCCAACATCTGGGACTAGCTTTTGGCTTTTCTGAAGTCCCATGGACCATTCGAGTATGGGTGGACAATTCTTGTTGCCATATCAACTAGTGTATTGACTTACAAAAACCTTTTTGACATCAAATAGCAGCCATTCACTGAATTGGGAAAAATTATCCATTCAGAAAATTTTCCTCTTTGGAGGCTATTATCGAACAAACACTAGTAACCACAATGGTTCCACATCCGATATGGTCTAAATGTGGTGCATCTGTTTATGCAGATAGTCTCCTCACTTGATACCAACATTAGGGATCAACTTGCTGTCAAATTTTTCAAATCCCTACTTTACTAATACATTTAGGCAGTTAGTTACTAACAAAATAATGGAATTTACTAACATGGAATTATTGACATGTCTTGAAATTTACGACCACCGCTATAAAGTTATTGATCAGGGAAATGAGCTGGGACAAAGTTTTGAATGACGGAGCTGAGCACATAGGTTAACGTCTTTCCTTAATAAAAGGCAGGCATATGTCATTTCCTGTTAATGCAAAAACAGATTACGGAAGAGGCATTTTGAAATCCTGGTTGGCCCTCCATCAACTACGCAAAAATGCCAGAAAAAGATGTTGCCATTCCACGTTGTGACAAACTCAGAAGCTGCTGAGCCATTTCTCACTTTAGAAACAAGGAGCAATAATTGACCGGCCAAAAAATAAAGAGCAATAATTGGTATTAGCTGATGTCTGATTGGATATTTATTATTCCAGTTCCGAAAGTGACGCAAGAGCTTGCTCTTTGCGACAACGTAGATGGAAACTATTAACTTGACACCGGCGGCTTCCGGTTACTCTTCACAAAAGACGAGAATAGCAGGCGCATAGGACTGGTCCAGAAAGATCGGTCATATAGCAAGATCATGAGACTACAACCCTAATTGATGGTTGAAAGACAAACAACTTTTTGACATTTCAATTTCGGGTGAGAAAAAAACAAGGGTGGGGAGATCAAGAGAAATCTGTCTGACCGGGAGCGCATGTGAAGGTAGAATCAAGAAAGATGCTCCTGGGTCATCAAAGACCAAGAGGAAAGGTCCAACACAGACATAATTAAATAAAGGGCGAAAAGGCATAGATCTGCTTGGTAAGTTGTCAGCATGAATTACCCCCCACTATCTCAAAGTTCTCTGAATTGGGTCCAAAAGTCTCAGGCTCATCCAGTCTTGCTCATTAAGTTTCAGATTAATTTAATCATAATTGAGATGTGACTAAGCAAGTGGGTGAAAAGGAAAGGCATGAAAATTATGGACTAGTAACAGGGGAATCAATGAATTTTTGGGTATCTACCTGTAATCTCTATTCTACTAACCGAAGTTTCTAGAGCATCTCAAGGTGCGTTCACACTCGCCCAATAATTGGTCAAATATCTTGATCGGCAAGGAACATTTACAATCTTTCTTGGTCGCACTTGCAGGTATGTTGCACCCAATACATGGAAAATTTCAAAAACAGCGCCCCCAAAAAGTCAAATTGTTTTTATTCATATGCTCCACACAAAAACATCAGCATCACCAAACACTGACTGGTTTTTATCGCCAAAGGCAACCTCTGAGGATCGAGAGGGGGCGGCTTTCTTTGTCTCCTTTTTTTAGATGTTTCCTTGAAGTTTCTGTGCACCTTTGGGTGGCTCTCTGTTGTTATTGTCTCTCTCTTTCCTCTGCCCTGTGTGAGAGATAACTCAAGAATCAACCTTTCACATTAGTCAATAGGCTGCAGTCCGTCTTTTCGGCACGGTATATTCTCTTGCTAGCTCAAGGTATTCCTCTCTCTCTCTTTCTCTCTCTCTCTCTCTCTCTCTGTTTTTTGGTCCTTTGATAAATGTTTTCTTGTTCCTGTTCCTCTACTTTCTTTCTTTTACGGGGGGTTGATCTGAATCTGCGGGTTTTCTGTAGCATGTTGGGAGTATTATGTGATATCTGAATCACTTGGTTTGCTTGAATTTTTCTGCTCTTGCCCTTTTGATCAGTGTTGGTGGAGGCGTTGTTGACTTGGATTTCAAGTACTTTATTTTTGCTTCCGTGTGGATACTGAGTTTTTCCCTTGTTTTACCCAAACATCCAGGGGAAGATTTTGCAAAGCCGACACCCGAAAATTTGGACGGTTGATTGAAAGGAGAGAGAAAGAAAAAAAGGGGGGCCTTCTATTCACTTTGTTCTTGCCCTTCTTCTTTTTCTCAATCTTTTGCAAACAACTGTCTTCTGGGTTTTTGTGGGTTAGGTTTTCATGGAATCCCTACTCACAGAATATTCTAGTTCCTTGAATGGGTTGAAGTTTGACCTTGGATCGATTTCGATCCACCCAAATCGTAATCTCATTAATGGGTTCAAACACGATGCTGAACCCAATAACCCCAGTACCAGTGCATCGCCGGCTTCCAGTAGCTTGGAGGTGGAATCTCCAGAAGATAGTGATACCTCCAATTCAATTCTCAAGTTCATAAGCGAGATGCTCATGGAGGAGGAGTTGGAGGAGAAAAACTGCATGTTGCAGGATTGCTTAACCGCCCTCCAGGCTGAAGAAAAAAATTGGCATGATGTCCTCTACCAGAAGGATACCCCTTCATTAGATCATTCATCGCCTTCTGTTAATCAAAACTTCGAGAGTAGATATGATCATTATTCCCCTGAAAATAGCAATTCTGATGGTTGTTACAACTGTGCGACTGTATCGAACCATTTTAAGTTCAATGGAGCTTGCGAGCAGAGTAATTGCAATGGCTCTCGTGCTGCTGTGATTGATTCTCCTTTTAGCTCCTATCTGGATCTTGACTCATATAGTGGAATACAAGCAGCTAATGAGCCCCTTTTAAGTGGAACTACTGATATACTTGGTGTTGGGGGTAACCGGACAGTGTTTCCAGAACCAAAAGAAGTAATTGATCACGCTGGGTCAGAGGGTGAGGGAAGTCAGTGTTCTCCGAACAGGGGAAAGAAAAGTCACGGACGGGAAGATGGAGAGTACCAACAAGGAGGACGAAGTAACAAGCAGTCGGCTATTTTCGTGGAAGAAGAGTTTGATGAACAAACAGCTTTGTTTGACAAGGTCTTGCTTTGTCAAGGTGGAAGAGATGACCAATTATGCCCTCTTTACGATAACCCAGAAAAGTTAGAAAATGAAGAGTTGCAGCAGAATGTGCTGGCAAAAGGATCCAGTAGCAGCAGCAGCAGCGGCAACAGCAGTGGCAGAACATCACGCAGGAGGAAAAAGGGAAGTGAAGGGGATATGGTGGATCTGTGGACCCTTTTGACTCAATGTGCACAATCCGTGGCAAGCAATGATCATCGAAGTTCACATGAACTGCTCAAACAAATCAGACAGCATTCTTCTGCCTATGGCGATGGCACCCAGAGGCTGGCCTATTATTTCGCCAATGGCCTTGAAGCACGTTTGGTAGGCACAGAGACGCCATCCTATTCGATGCTCATAGGTAATGGCGCATCTGCTGCTGAAATCCTCAAATCCTACCAGGTCTACGTCCAAGCGTGCCCCTTTAAGAGGATGTCGAATTTCTTTGCAAACAGAACAATCATGAAAAGGGCTGAGGAAGCACAAAGGCTTCACATTATTGATTTTGGCATTCTCTATGGCTTCCAATGGCCCTGCCTCATTCAACGTATCTCGAGAAGACAAGGTGGCCCTCCCAAGGTCCGCATGACGGGTATTGAGTTCCCACAACCTGGGTTTAGGCCCTCGGAGAGGGTCGAGGAAACTGGGCGACGGTTAGAGAAGTATGCCAAGAGATTCAACGTGGACTTCGAGTACCATGTGATTGCAAAAAAGTGGGAAACCATCCAGTTAGAGGATCTGAACCTCGAAGGAGACGAGATGATTGCGGTCAACTGCTTGCACAGGTTGAAGAACCTGGCTGACGAATCAGTGTCGATGAACAGTCCGAGGGATGCCGTTTTGAATCTGATAAGAAGGATTAATCCGGATATATTCGTTCACGGGGTGGTCAACGGCTCCTATAATGCTCCTTTCTTTGTCACAAGGTTCCGAGAAGCGTTGTTTCATTTCTCTTCGCTGTTTGATATGTATGACGTGAATTTAACTCGGGAGGATCCCCAGAGGATGGTCTTTGAGAAAGAGGTGTTTGCCAGAGATGCAATGAATGCCGTCGCATGTGAAGGTTTCGCCAGGGTCGAGAGGCCCGAGACATATAAGCAATGGCAGATCAGAAATATGAGAGCAGGCTTTAGGCAGATTCCGTTGGATGAAGAGATATTTAGGAAAGTGAAGAGAACGGTAAAGGCAGACTACCACAAGGATTTCATCATAAATCAGGATGGATATTGGATGCTCCAGGGATGGAAAGGAAGAGTGATCCATGCACTCTCGTGCTGGGTACCCGCTTAGGGATTTGGCTAAGAATTGTGTGCGCTTTCGGAGTATATTTGTATCTATTCTTTATAGATAGTGTTTTGCTACGAAAAACTGATGCCATGTATAGCTTAGTTCCATATTGCTGAGCCTACTGCAGAATGTTTGGCCTCTGAGCTAATGTAATGTAAAGAGCTTCTTCATTTTCATTTCAAGCTTAGGACAGGACTATCATGATCTTTTGTTCTCCTAACATGTTATGGTGGAGTTATTTCACGGCTGGTATTTGTCGGTTTTTTCGCATTGACATGAAATAGCTCACCTAGACAGTATAACAGACGGAAAGAAAGATAGGATGGGTCATTCAAGAGCAAGAAAATTATCAAAAAAGTCTTAAATTTATTGCACTTGTGCCACTTCAATCTTAAAGTTTTTATTTTGACTAATTTAGTTATAAACCTTTTGACAATTTGGCAATGCAGTTCAAACGGCCAATTTTGATCGGAAATTGATGACGTAGACGTTGGCCGTCCTACATAGCACGGTCGACACTGTCGTGGAAATTTTTTGAAATTAGAGTATGAGCTTGCGACTGGTTTGCTCGAAAGCCCACTGCTTCATGTTACAAGTCGTCAACATATGATTGAAAGCAAATGAGCCTCAAGAGATAAGCTGAACTGGTTTTACAGTAACCAGCAAATGTTCCAAGTGCAAAGGCAATTGTAATTGTAAGCAGGAGTAACCATTTTTTAAATCTGATGGGCATAGTAATCAGCACCTACAAATAAATTGCTCAATCATAATGTAGTTGACATGCATTGGTCAAGCCGGCAAACTGAAAGAATTTCTAATCTCACTAACGAACTCACAGTGGGATCAGATGATGCCCAACAGCCTGGGGGCTATGTGGCATCACCTTTACGCCGGACATGTTTTAGTCCTTACCAGTTACATTTGAGCTGGATTAGAGGTGATCAAGGGACCAGTCGTGTTTTGTAGCGAATTAGATCTAATCTGGCTTGCCAAACCCGAGATGCAAATGGACAGGCGTACACATGCCCTATTTTCGTCGACATACCAACAGCTCAAATAAGCTCAATAGTCTAACCAATATCCACAATTTGACCAAAGACAGAGATGCTTAATTCTCTGCATTTGATTGACCTCTCTATCTCTCCCTGTTTCTGAAAACCATGATGGAAGCACAGAGCAATTGGGCAAAGAAATTCTATGTAGTAGAGAATCGAGATTTGGCATAACATCCTGCGCAAACAAGAACGAAAGGGTTCTCAATTTCTCTTTTGGCCACACAGAGGGTTCTGTTCAACAGCATCTAGTGTGTGTTTGTGTGTGGGTGAGAGATAGAGAGTGGCTAAGAACATTTGCTTCTTTTTGGTTTCACAATGCTTGCTATTATGACAACAAAACAAGCACTATAATTCTATCAATTAAATGTCTAACAGATACGGTGGAACAACGATATCAATGAGCATCCTAAGACGGTACGTCATATGTTCTTATTTTTCTTGTTGACCCTTCGATGGTCTCAGAATATTCCAATCTAGCTTTTCCCGTTTTGGTTGCTTGTAAAAAGTTCGACTGCCAGAAGGCAATGACTGTTGATCACTTTGCATTGTTTTTGGCGATTTCCTGGGATACGGAGTTTCTGCTTCAACTTCAGATTGCTTTCTTTTAAGTTCTCCATTCCCTTCGGAATTCTGCTTATCAAAGCTAACAGGTTCTTCTCCATTCATTGCAGATCCATTATCCCTGTGGCATTTAGAAGAGACATTGGATGTCAATGTACATTCTACAATATCTTCTCAATCACAAACATTACTCTTGATTCTGAGACAGCAATTTCCCCAATACAAGTATTCTGTAACTCGCAACCAAGTAGCATCACCAAATTGCATCCTGCTAACAAATCAACTTTAAAGACAAATTCAAACCCAAGTATCCCCCTTATATAGTCTGCATTGGAAGTGCTGTTTTGGTCATCCACAAAGCCAGTACTTCTTGATGAGATAAGAACCATCAGTATCAGATCTAGAGAGAAAAGGGGGAAGGGGGCAAAGCTCTCTCAAACTAAAGTTTGCATAATTTGCACTATGGACAGGGAAAAAAGAATAACAGGAGCAGGGGAAATCAAATTTTTCACTAAGCAGTTTATGTATACTGCAACAAATCTCCTTTCTTGGATTGTGCCTTAGATCATCAGTCTAGTTTGAAATCCTAAGACGGTCATGTTTCAGCTCATTCACAGAATACACCCAAATTTGAATTTCAGAACATGCACTAGGTTGGATTCACGTGCTGTGTAATAGCAGCAGGAATGACAAAGCAACCTCATGAAAAAACTACAAAACATGCAGAAGAATTCTCTGATTTTTTTGCTGGACAACTTTGTGAAGAATTAACAGAGAGAAAAGGACCAACAATTTCCAGATCTAGTACACTATCCTCATACCTGAAAGAAGATCCTTCACTTTGAGTACCAGAAGATGTCGCTGGAGCATCTGGCTGACGAAGATTTACCGCCTCTTCATTCATTTTCTAAGGACAAGACACTTTGACATGAACGGGAAACCCAGGACCAGAACTACAACTGTTATCATCAGGCTACTAGGATTCACTACTTACATCTATAGAAGGATTAAAACACTGGAAAGACATCCGTCCGATGACTGCTCCAGGATGAGGATCACCTTCCATTATGACAACGCTGCACCAAGTATAAGAACCAGAACGATTAAGCAAGTAAACAAAGGAGTAAAGATATAATTCATTGTCACAGCAAGGAAGAGGTGCTCAATAGACCTAATGTGATTGCACACCTTATTTGCATCACATCTCTAGAACAATCCTAAATATAGAGAGATGATCAGAAACAGAAAGGCCACAGTGCACCCACACAATTCCATTCGCAACCTTTCAAATGCCTGCAGTTATACTAAGAAAAAAATTATCATAGCATATCGAAAGAATAATAAATTGCGATAGACATTTTCATGATAAACACCATATATGTCTGAGGCTGTCCTGATGCACACAGATAAGTAGATTTGATAGGTGTAGATCTACCTATAGCCAGGAAAGTAACAAATCGAGGGATCTGCCTTACAATCTAGTCGAAGTTATCTTCATAATAATTCTGAAGTGCTGAAGAAAACATACGGATGAGTCAGTGACCGAAAGTCTTACGGATACCGCACAAAATACGAGGTGAGACATTAACCCCTCTTAAAAGCAGGTATACATGGTTCACGAATTTCTCGGTTGTCCTTGCAGTCATCCTCTTAACAATCAAGCAGTGCAAACAAGCATAACAAACATTCCAACAGATGAATGGACGACTGCAATCAAATAAGCCAATCCATCCACTAAAACGTCATCAATCAATCAATCAGAACAGTTTCTCAGACGCACCATTTCTTACGAACCGAAGCAGAGGAAAGGAAATCCCCATTAGCTTTCGCTTCATCCTCCTTCTTGGGCTTCTCCTCCCTCGCAGCCGCCCTTTGCATGAACTGCCCAAGAAACGAACCCACAAACAACAAGAATCGAAATTTATCAGTCAAGCCAACCGCACGGCCATAACCCTGACTGGGTTTTCCCGGAATGAGCCTCACGCTCGAGAGCTCGAGCTCGGGTCGTCACCTTCAAATTCCTCAAGGTGCTCGAGAGCTCGCGCTTCGCCATTACCAGCTACGAAGCTTGCTCGGATTCGCTCGCGAAAAAGAGCCAAGAAAACGCGAGATGCCGAAGCGGCGCTGCGAAGAGTTTCTTCTCCAGCGAGGTCGTGATGACTCGATCAAGATCTTGTCGGAACAACGGACGATCAAGCCTTCGGTCTCCTTCAGGAGTCGGGGACTCGAGAGTCGCAGAGAAGACGAAGCGCGAGCGCCGAACCCTAGCTGGCGGCTGGTTGTGCAGAGTGACTGGGCTTTGGTTTGGTGTGGGCTTGGCCCATTTATTCACGGCCCAACCCAAGAGGGGGCCCCTTATTTAGTATCAGTTTTCTGCAATTTGCGTTTATTGAATCAGGGCAAATTATAACCAAGACTATCTTACAAATTCGGTATACAAAGTGATTTGTTAACTTTTTTAATTGGGTACAGACCCAACAAAAAAAAAAATTTATTGGGTGTTCGAATACGACCCATTTCGCTTGTTCGAAGATTGCCACGTCACGAGAAAAATCGATTTTCTTAACGTCCGGTATTTAACGGATCGAGGGCGGGTTCCAGTTAGGATTAGGCCCGCCTATGATTGAGAAATGTCAAGCTTAATTGGGAAAGCGGAGCCCTAGAAGAAAATAGGGCATTTCTAGGCCTGTCCATTTGCATCTCGGGTTTGGCAAGGCAAGTTAGGTCTAATTTGCTGCAAAAGACGGCTGGTCCCTTGATCACCTCTAATCCAGCTCATATGCAACTGGTAAGGACTAAAACTTGTCCAGCGTAAAGGTGATGCCACACAGCCCCTAGGCCATTGGGCATCATCTGATCCCACTGTGAATTCGTTGGTGAGCTTAAGAAATTCTTTCAATTGCCGGCTTGCCCAATGCATGTCAACCACATTATGATTGAGCAATTTATTTGAAGATGCTCGTTAAGTGTGTCCATCATCAGACTGAAAAAATTTCTGTAAACCTCTCGCACATTAATCTCAAGATAAGGCCACCACAAGCATCCATAATTTATGTACGACACTCACTTGAGTAACATACATTTTTCTTTCGATCACTTGAATTCCACTTTGTTTAAAAATCCTTCACTTGAGTGCCATCAACAAAATGTTTGGCCAGGAAAACCGATGTGACATTAATTTAATATAAACCTTTTGCCATGGCTCGCCAACAAAATGAAAGCAATAAATAAGTGGTAGATCTATTTGTCCTAAATTAACGAATTGGGCAAAATTAGGTATACCCCGATTTGAGGAATTAGGAAAATTTACCTTCTGAAATTTGCAATGGAGAGCTTGAACAGGAAAAGAGGCTCATGATCATGCGAGTCACCATCACACCGCTTAGTACATACCCAGGAGTATGCGCAATTCGAGTTCGTTTGTATAACAAAGAGTGTGCGCGTGCGTCGGTGACGCTAATCCAGTCCTTCGTTTCTTTGCTTTGGATGTTGCAGAATGCAGGGAGGAAGGGTGAGGCCGACGTATGCAGATCAACCGACAGAATGCACTCAGGATGGTCGATTTCATTGTCGATTATTACGAGTCCATCGAGAGCTTCCCCGTCCTCAGCCATGTCGAGGTTTTGGTTCATTCCGTCCTCCTTGAGCTTTCATTTCCATGTTATAATTGATTGGACAGGGTCAACAACAGTTATCTCGAATGATGGGAGTAGAAAATTCGACTCTCTTTTATTTCCCTTACAAAGACGGAGTGGTTAGAGAGATGCAATCACAGTACATCTGCATGTAAGGGAGGGATACAGAGTTCGGACACAGGTCTTATTATCGCCTAACGATCATCTTGTAACAGCTAGGCTTTCACTGGTGTCTCGATAGCAACCTCCCCTGGATACTGAACGCTTTCCGACTTCTTGTCAGCTTCCCAGAGTTCGGGCAGTGCCTCGCGGATATTATGGATGCTCTCTAATGCATGGTCGACCCCCTTAGTTCGGTGAGCAGTGCCAACCTACATACATCGATGTCGTGACCGAAAAATTTCAGGATTTTTCTTTATAGCAATCATCAATGCCTATTCCAAGCATCAATCTTTATGCTATCAAATAAAGAATGACAAGCAGTAATTCAGATTTTCCATCGATAGCCTACCAGCACAGTATGTAGCCCCATTTGTTTCCCGGTCTGTAAGTTACGGACACTATCATCAAAGAACACCTGAAATGAGAAACAAACTACAACGTCATAAACGATTGTGTAAGGTTCGTAATTGAGCAAATCACAGTGAATCAGACCTGGTCGGAGGCTTTCATCCAAAATTCAAAATGAGAATAACAGATCTGAATTACCCAGACTTATAAATATAGACCACATTTGACAAGGGAGTCAAAAGTGAAATGAGTTGTTCTAGAAGGTAAAGTCATGTCCCTTACCGTTCTCTGAGAGTTTATGTTAAGTATCTTAAATGCTTGTTCAAATGCTTCCTCAAATGGCTTGCAAACAACCAGACTTTTACGAAGCATCGCATCCGCATTAACACCAGCAGCTTCATCGCGGGAAACAGGCCCCATTTGCGGGCATCTCAAATTATTGTCTTTCTCATCAGGTGAAGCACTACTTTTGTTAGTAGGATTTAGAGTCTCAAAGCATATAATCCCATCAAAGCAGTCCTCCAAACCAAGCCTGGCAAGAGCTCTAGCTGCGTGAGCTTTGTCTCCATTGGTAAAAATCTGATGAAACAACCAGATTCACAAGGAAAAGGCTCTGATCAGCAAACAACCCAGTAATAGAATCCTCCTACCTAAAGAATTTAGTACGAGAGCACAGAACTTACAAACTTGCGGATTGGAAGGCTATGTAGAAGATGTCTTAATACAGGGTCAGGCTTCAATAGATTGTATGGCAATGTCCCGTGAACAAAACTGTGAAAAGTGCATAATATAAGGACTTTACCGCCTAAAACAACAAAGAGATACAGCTAAAAGGCAGCCCAAGACAAAACAAAGAAAAGGGAAAAGCAAGTACCCATGAAAGTCATCGTAGTCAAAATTATATCCAAGTGCCTGTAATCAATTAAAGCCAGAATAAATCACTCGTTAGCATAATTCACTAAATAGTACACAAAGATGACCGCTTGATGAAACTAAAAGGTCCAGTGCAAACCTTCAGACCAGCCATAGTCGTCCCATAATTCTTGTAAAGTGATAGACACAATTCGGGAACTTTACTCTCCTCGATATGAAGCTTGTGCACCATATATTCTACGGACAAGAGAATTTAAGGAAAGACATTTGTGAGGAACGCATGCTAACTCAAAGCAAAATCAAGAATTTTGATCGCTGAATGCGTTACCTTGAATGTTCTTGGTAATCTGCACTGACAGTCCAGAACTAAGCGGATACAAAGTGTCATCTAAATCTGCAATTTGAGTAATCAACAGCACGTTAGATTCATGACATCGGTCAAGTCATCGTAACTTGGCTAGAAGCAAATCAAAGACAGAATGAGATAGAATTTAAGGAAGAAGGCATCGACCTTGATAAAAGAAAACCTTACCAAATAACAAGCACTCGTATTTGGGCTCTGGAGCCTGCTGGTAATTGTTTTCGTAATCCATGTTCTGAAGATACTAAAGGATGAAAACCTGAACAGAACCCACGCATTAAAACTGAATCAGACAACGCGCTATCAAAGTTTAGGAAACTGCAGAAAGGCAAAGACTGGTTGTAATGTTTAAATTGGACACTCCATGAGATTATTACTTCTGCATAGATATATTCAAAACCACCCCAAAAAAAAAGAATAATTAAAAGCTCACAAGATCGTCCATTTTTGCCGTGAAGATTACCCCCAAAAAGAAAGAAAGCTCAAAGTTTCGACCTTTAAAACATCCCCGGCGGACAGAGGCAAGCTGAAGGCTAACAGACAATGTAAAAGGAGGACAAGCGCAACAGAACACAAAATTTTTAGCATGACAGCGAACTGATCACTGAACTGCAGTCTTGACCATCACTATCAACAGCAGATCTAAATCCAGAGAGCCTCTCACCAGAACCGCGACAAGCGAGCATAATGTAACCGCCAAAAACAACAGATCTAGTCCATCGCAACCCGAAAGCACGAAATCATACGCAAGAGTTCACGAAAAAGCAACCAGAAAGCCACACAATGCATCCGGAAGCAAGCGTTATTACCTCAGAAAAACTGCAGAAAACGCGAAGGATGCTCTGAACGGAGAAACCCAGAGAGGGAGAGAGACGTAACTTGGACCACAAGAAGAAAGCAGAGGGCTTTAATTGACGAAATGACTAGGGGACAGAGCGCAGAGAAGTCGTATAAATAGACGAGACGTGACGCTTGGCCAAAAGGAACCAGAAGGTAATGACCCAATAAACAAGGAAGGATCCTGGAAAGCTACGTGTCCCTGTCGGGGGATGGATCATCGTGGATGTATCCTGGGAGGAAGAGACATCGCCACGCACGTTTCTCAGCGTACGCACGTACGTAGTCTAGCAACGAAGAAACACTTTCACCATGAGCCACGAAATGGGTCTAGTTATGTCACAGCTCAATCTCAAACGAAGTATTTTTTTCGATGTATCTTATCAACGAGTACCTTTGAAACATTTATCGGGCAACCAAACAGAAAATTTTAGATTTTTTTCAAAGGTGCTCTTGATTTCTGTGATACGATATGATTTGAAAACTTTTTCTCCCGGGATACTCACCAAATACCCTTTGTTTCAAAAAGATTAGTTGACAACATCCAGGCCACACCTACATCATCAGTTACGTACGCGTCATTATGGGTTTAATATAGTTGACCAGTGTGGAACGCAGATAACCTTCCATCTGAACATGCACATCAAAATATGTTTCTTTCCTTGGTCTTATGGTATGTCTGATAATTAGTTGTTGACTCTCAGGGCCCAACCCGAAGAGAACCTACCGGCTTTACTGGCTTCTGAATTTGTATTATCCTTACAATATGTGAAATCCATTGAATGTACTTGAGGATGCACCAGCAATTTCCTTCTCCTTAAGCAATTGGCATAGGCGCTACTGTACATACAAGCAAGTCGTTGCACGGCATACAAGCAAATCATGCCATGCGACGATGTACCCTTATGCTTCCAATCGAAAACGGAGTACAAAAGTGCAATTCATTCGCTGCTGCGATTAGGTCGACGCCCGGACGTATACATCGCTGTGTCGGACTCTTTCCTCGTGCCTTTTCATGGAAAGGCAGAGGTTGAAGAATCGTTTATCACCTTCCTGCCTTAGTCAAATTTTACTGCGTCAGAAATCTGCCAGGGATTACACCGACAAAATGCAATCTCGCGTTTCTCAGAAGGATTTCGTTTAAGTGGAAGATGAAATAAGGGTGCTACAGCGTGTGGGCCAATATCTCTTTCCCTTCCTTCACCTATGCGAAAATTTCAAAAAGCATTTCACATCATGCAACCTGACAACCACATCAAGGGTCATCATAATCAAATTAAGCAGAGGACACCATCGGCATCTTTTATCAAAACGAAGGAATTGGTAAAGACACTTCCTTTCCCTGACAGCATCATGCAGTATCAACTTTTCATGAAGCGAAATAGTTTGCCTTCTTCTCTGTCATGTCACATGGACTTTGATTCGTTGAACTGAATTACATGTGAGATAATAACGCGCTTGGTGCATGTAATGACGATGGAAGAATTCAATACCACAACAATATGGAACTGCAATCTCAGATTTCTCTCGGAATTATTTCAGAAGATAAATATAGAACACTGTAATGCAATGTACAGCTTCTTTTTTTTGGGCTCCGGCAAAGACTTCGGGAAACAATCCAGATCATTTACAAAAAAAGTCTCAGCTAGAATTCCTGAGAACTAAGTCGGGACTACCTGTGGATCCAAAGGAGGAGGCGATTCGTCGTCCTCCACTGCACCAGTCTCCGGAGTCTCTGCACTCTTCTCTTCCACTTGAAACCCTAGCTTATATATGTCATAATTGGTCATCTCACTCGACTTAAATGGTCGCTCACCTAAAACACGGAGCAAATCGTCCTGATGAAGAACCTCCTTTTCGAGCAACAGCTCAGCGATCTGAGCAACATGCTCTTTGTGCTCCGTTATTAACTCCACCGTACGCTCATATGCCTTATTTACCCACTCACGCACCTCGCCATCAATAATTGCAGCAGTCTTGCTGCTGTAGGGCTTGGTCATCTCAAATCCATCCTCTCTTTGAGGAAAAGAGAGGAGTCCCACTTTGTCGCTAAAGCCATATATTGCTACCTGGGCATAGGTCATTTTCGTCACCTTCTCCAAGTCATTTTGAGCTCCCGTTGATATTTTACCCAACAAAACCTGCAAATTTACATGAATATTCAACTCATCAGCATCGAGGTTTAAAGATTGTAACCTCACGGGAACTTATTTGCCTCATTGATCTTTCTTCAAATCAATGGGCAAAGATGAAAGAAAACATTTTCTGCACTTCTGCTATCCACAAAGTGAAGGTCAAATAAGATTTCCGTAAATCACCTGTTCGGCTGCTCGTCCGCCAAGGGTCATACATGTCATGTCGAAAAGCTGTTCCTTGGTCATGAGGAGATTCTCATTAGGCACATATTGGGCAAATCCTAGAGCAGCTGTGCCACGAGGGACTATTGTCACTTTCAGTAAAGGCTCCGTATGCTCCAAGAACCAACCAGCCACAGCATGACCTGACTCATGATACGCAACGGTGCGACGTTCTAGTTTGCTTATCACCTGCTCAAAAACCAAAGGTTAGATTGATTTATCTCTCTTTATACAGGTCCAAATTAGAAAGTCACTATTTGACATCATCTTTACATCAATCCGTGCCAAAAGCAACAAAACCAGTTATGAGATCAACCCATAAGATCAAACATCAAAGTATTTGCCAAGAGAAAGACTTCTCACTGTTCATAATACTAAATGGCAAGATTGTGAACAGCCCAAAAATCAGGTGTGAAGACAAGCAACAATAACTGAAGCACAAGCTCACTGTCCGGTGACGCTTATCAAAATAATTTCTAGCTTTACTTTCAACCAATAACCCCATAAGAAGATGAGTAAAAACGAACACAAAAAAGCTAAGACCAAAAGCCATCAGTTGGAACCACCTACTGACCATCTCTATCATTAGTAAAGAAAAGCTATGATGGTTTCCATTCAATAAGCAGTAAGCTTAGCAGCCACAAAGACACAATAAACTTCTTAGTCGGGTCATTGTGAGAGAGGATCCTAGAAAAATATAACATGTTTACAAGAGAACAGAGTTGCTGAAATTTAAAAAAATAAGAAAAGACCAAGAACCAGCATGATGGAGTGGAAGAGAGAAAAGCCACATTACCCTGTTCTTCTTCTCCAAACCACCTATAATCCTATCTATAGCTGCCTCAAAATGTTCCATGGTGACCTCAGTTGACTCGTTCCTGGCAGCAATGAGAGCAGCTTCATTACAAACGTTAGCTATGTCCGCACCAGCAAATCCAGGTGTAAGGGCTGCAAGCCTTTGTGAATAATACAAAGGTTCATGATCAAGCTTAATCTTTTTCAGGTATATCTGGAATATTTGTTCACGGCCTTTGATATCAGGTTTATCGATGGAGATTTGCCTATCGAATCGACCAGGCCTCAACAAGGCTTTGTCTAAGATGTCAGGCCTGTTAGTGCCAGCAAGCACGACTATCCCCGAGGTGGTACCAAAGCCGTCCATTTCTACGAGCAACTGGTTAAGTGTGCTCTCACGCTCATCATTGGCACCAGAAAAACCTCCACGTCCTCTCGCTCGACCAATTGCATCAATTTCATCAATAAATATTATGCTGGGAGCACACTGTCTTGCTTCTTGAAATAAGTTTCTCACTCTTGAAGGCCCAACACCAACAAACATCTCCATGAAATCGGAACCTGATATAGATAGGAACGGCACACCAGACTCTCCAGCAGTTGCTTTTGCTAAAAGAGTCTTCCCTGTACCTGGAGGACCAACAAGAAGAGCACCTTTCGGAATCTTTGCTCCCAATTCTTCATATTTCTTCGGATTCTTGAGAAAATGCACAAACTCCATAATTTCTTGCTTCGCTTCATCACAGCCAGCGACGTCTTTAAAGAATACCTAGTCAGAATTGAAACAGGATACAAATTTTCTGGTTTAAACATTTTAAACCTCCCACGACAAAATGGAAAAAGAGGAAAAGGATACAGCACAAAAACAAGGGAACTATTTCATTCAACTGACCTTGTTCTTGGCATTTTTATCCACTTTAGTAACATGAGCCTTTCCAATGTTAAATATACCCCGAGCACCCCTCCCACTACTGCCACCAACACCTAGGCCACCTTGCATTCTCCGTCCCATGTACAAGAGGGATCCCAAAAGCAGAAGAGTCGGTGCAAATCTCAATATCTCTTGGTACCAAAGCATCTCAGAGACATAAGTAACAGGAACATAATCATGGGGGTCAACGCCTAATGCTTCTTGAGCTTCCTCCAATTTCTCTTCAAAAGATTCAACACTTCCGATATTGAAGTAGTACTTATACTGACCTCCATGTCCTCTTGCAACATTGCCACTCTTGGGTCCTTCGCTGACCTCATCGATTGTTTGATTTGGTGGTGAATTTCTTACATACACTTTTGCCACAGATTTGTTAGAAATAACTATATGGTCCACCAAGCCTGGTTCCAGAAGCTTGTTTTTGAACTCTTGAAAGCTAATCTGTAATTTACATTTTCAACAAGCACGAGAATAAGAAAACAGACTAAATCTTCAGTCTTTAGACGAAGATTGCATACGTGACCCCAATCAGAAAAAGATCACAGTTCAACCAGCATAATGCATAATATGAACATGAACAGCAAAAGAAAAAAAGACCAAATGGCCTGCCTGAACCTAAGCATGCTCATTATGGGCAAAAAAGTAAAAATAAAAATAAAACCTTCAGCATGCTCATTAGCAGATCTACCTGCTGTTGTTCACGAGGACCAAAAGAAAAGGAGGAAAGGAACAGTCCAATCACTACCAAGGGCGTGATCAAATTCTGGAACTGCTTCATGAAAGTATCCTGATTGTCGTCTGCATTCGAATCCCCTGAAAATTGGGTAAAAACTTTAAGGGAACTGCTTTACATTGATTAATTTAAGTGGAAAGCTGGAAAGAACTACAATGCAGTGCTTAAAAGTGTGCATATAAGTCACTTTGCAATCCATATATCCATATCTGCATCTAAGCTAAAGTTTAGGTTAGTATTGCAAGGATAACCAAATGAAGAGCAAACAACAAACAAGCATTTCCTATTTCAGACAAGAAGGAAAGATCTGGTTCGAAATTACTTCCGTTCATTCCTTCACTCAACCAAATTTCATCTTACTGCAATTACTTCTGTTCATTCAATAATACAGTATTCCCACAGCTACTCCACAGAATACTATTGTGAAATACATCCATCCACAGATCATTTACAGGTTACAACGAGAACTTACCATTCTTCGGGTCCATCTCAGAACAACAACTCAATCTCAACTAATTCAACCAAGAGAGCCTCAATTTCTACCCATAATATGGGTACTTTCCCATCACAGTGTCTGAACACGGTACAAGCAGGGAGGGAATTGTCCAACTAAAATAATGGTCTAGCAGAACAACTCCTAGAAAGCGAGCAGCCACCAACATTATGTCTTTAGCACACTCATTACACAGTTTGTTAAGTTTTGACAAGCTAGAACTAATCCCCTAAACTTTCCCATCAACACCCTGGAGATTCACAAGTGAGACGAAAACTTCACACACAACATATGTATACGATATAAAGAAACAATTCCAATGTTGTGGACTTCAATACCAGACAGAAAGACCAACTAGAAACTACAATATACAGCTTATACGTAAACAATCCAGCACGACCTCATAATCTAGTTAAGTGCCAGGCGACTGTTCATCAAACAACACATGATGCAGCAAATATCGACAGCAAGTGGTCATCTCCAATGTACAATATAATATACCTGATTGACGGAATGAAACCACTCAACAATTCAATTCAATAAAAAGGAGACAAGACAAAAAGGCAGACCAAGACAGAGATTTCAATGCACCCATAGAAATTTGTACCATGGAGAAAAAAATCTACCTTTGGACTCTGATTTTTGGTCATTTCCTTTTGGGATTTCCTTCCTCCCCTTTGGATAGAAGTTCTCATAATCTGCGAAATAGCATCAGATATATGAGAGATCACAATAAAACCCACTTAGATAGTTATTTTTGCAGAGCTCAAAAGCCAAAAAGCTCTCAAAGACCACACGTGCAAACACCAATAACTTCTCAACTGCAACTGCCAAAGAAAGACACCGGCTTTGTTTCGGCAGAGATTGAACGATTCAATACGACGAATGTGCACTTACTCTTCTTTTTCGGGGCTTCGCTGGAGAAAAACCGGTGGACTCTGGGATTAGCAAGAACGTAGTTTAGATCGGACAAATAAGATTTAGCAGAAAACCCCTTGAGAACCCCAGCAGAAGCTAAGTATTCCCTAAAAAACCCTAACTTTCCATCCAATCCGCCTAGCCCGCCATCCAAGCGCGGCGTTTCCAATGACGCGCCACTCAACAGACCACCCGATCGTCCGCCACCACGGCACAATGCATTCTACAATCAAAGGACAAACGAAACCAATCAATACGCGAAAACAATGAGTCCCACTCGAAAAGAAAGAAAGGAGAAAGGAATCAAAGCAACGATGAACAAACCCTCGAGCGGGAAGATCTCGACAGCGAACGGCCAATCCTGGAAAAAATCATCGCTAGGGCACCCGGAAAGGGCGGGACTTTGCTTCAGCAGATCTGACAAGGCGGCCACTCCGGAGAGAATCGCCCGTCCCTATTTGTCGGAAAACCAGACGACGAGCAAGAAAAGCAGCTGAGGGTTGGTGTGTCTCGGGGAAGTTAATTAGGGTTTGACGTCGAGTCGAAGCTGGACATTAACGACTCCATGAACGAGGACAAGCTGTTCGCTTTTTTCGCGTGGCGGGGGGATGGAACAGAGACTGGTAGAGAAGAGATAGAGGAGGGGAGTGTTTGGGGCTGGAGGCGTTTGATGTCCAGCGTCGCGGTTCTCTGTGACTCTGGTTAGGGGCACGTATCGACCGTCGTCAGCGCAGGCGTAGGTTGAAACTTTTTGCCTTGCTTGGTGAACAAGACAATCCCTCAGGCGAAGCCCATGGTTTTGCCAAGGCCACCACTTAACCGTGTCATGCTCTGCAATGGAAGTTGGAAATAACGAGAAACTAACCCCGTGAATGCAAATAGTTCCCATCTTAAGCAATTCTCTCTCCTCGGCAAAATGACACGATCTATCTCTAAACTTTGATCAAATATGTAATTTGTTCTCTGAACTTTTAATCTGTCAAATGCAATCCCTAAAGTTCAACATAATGTACAATGTCGTTTTTGAACTATTAAATTGTTTGATGTGATCCTTGAAATTTTGATGCATGTTCAATTTAATCCCTGGATTATATGAAAATATTCAATATTATCCACGAACTTGAATTAATAGAAAGACAATATTGAATATTTTCATTTTATTCATAGATTAAAATTGAATATTTACCAAAAGTTCAAGAACCACGTCGAACAAATTAAAAGTTCGGGGACCACATTACGTATTGGGATAAAGTTCATGAACTATATTGGACAACTAAAAATTCATAGAGTATATTGCACATTAAGTTAAAATTCAATAATTATTTATGTCATGATATCATCCCTTATGGTAAAGAGGTATCCAACCCATAAACTTAGAGTTTGTTAGCTGATCATAGATCTTCATTGGGCCCAAAGATAAGACCAATGAGCTTTATCGTATAGCTTTTCGTTTTCTCAAAGATGAGGACAGCTCGAGGAGGAGGGCTCGATCCACATCCCCACAAGCCAAAGCCCATTTTACCTTCTCGGTTCCCTCGCTGACTGATCAGTAGTTACCTGCAATCATCCCCTTCGTTCCCACCACCTGCCCGATGGGTTTCGTCGGATCGATGTTGAGCTCGCCGTGAAGCTGGCAAGTCTTGCCTCTCAGGAGAACACATGGAGACCACCTGGATGCTTCTTCACTCGAGAACTGTCCCGGTCGGGTTGGGTTTCAACCTGCAAAGGGCGCGCTCTCGCGGGCATTTCATCAAACACCCGCAGTGCGGCGAACGCGAGAGCGGTTTTCGCCTCGACCGGACCGTCAATAATTCCTCCCAAAGCTCGTTCCTTTATCCGAAGGTGTCGAGTGTTTCGTTATCATCGGCAAAGACGGCGAGAACCCATCTGTTGCCTCCTCTCAAATGCTCATACTCAAGCAATGCAGCTGCAGAATCTCGAAACCCCATTACGAAACTCTTCAAGAACTCGTCGCTCGATGCGGTGAAAGAAAAGCTTGTTCAGTTAACGCCTATAGATGTCGTCAAGCTGTCTGGGATTCTGTCCATTTCAATTGCGACGGCGAAGTGGACGGCCCGTTCGCTGTTGAACCCTTTCTTCTGGATGTATTTTAGCTGGAGTTGGTTGTTTTGGCCCTGGACTGTAGCCATAGCTTCGGCGATTTATGGATTATATTGTCTCCGTAAGCATTTACAGGGCGAAGCTAAAATCTTTGAGCAGCTTGCTGTGGTCACTTCAGCGTTTACTTGGCTCACCCTTGTCCCTCCCGCTCACTTCAATGGTTATCTCGAAGGTTGGCCTTTTGTTTTTTTCTTCGTGTACCATTATTTCTTTTTCTTCAATGTCAGTGTGAGAAGAAGACTATATGGCGATTACTATGCTCGCCCACATGATCCCAAGTGGGATATTGACCCACCTAAATGGCTGCGCCTCTTATTTTGTGCTGGAGTCATGGTTGGTCACTGGCTTGCCGCCTTTGAAGGGCCGGAGCTCCACCGCATCCCAGGTGGATGGAGCAATGTAGGGGTGTGGGTCTTGATATTGATAACTATCTCGATGCATTACAATTCCACATTGTATCTCGCGAAATATTCAGAGAAGGTGGTCGTGCCGACTGCAGTTGTCCAGTTTGGACCATATCGGTGGGTTCGTCATCCCATTTACGCATCTACAATACTTCTGTTTGCCACATATTGTATTGCACTTCGGGCTCCTTTGAGCTTGCTGTTTGTTGTTGCTGTATGCTTGTTGTATTATCAGCAGAAGGCAAAACTGGAGGAGGCGGTGATGGTTGAGACGTTCGGGGAAGGATATTTGGAGTATGCTGGTAGAGTCAAGTACAAATTCATTCCTTTGGTATACTAGGGTGTCATGGGTATGCTGCAGTTATCTCTTGTGAATTATTTAGGTATTGAAATCTATTTTATGACCTTGAGGTGGAAGTTATTATAATTATCATAATTGTCTCTGTTGCAACTTCTCTTGCCAATTCTACATAACCGTTTGTGTTGCGACTTCTCTTGCCGCTTCTACTTAGTTCTTTTACAAGGTTAATGCCTTTGACTTATATTACATTTTTGTCACACATCGTCGGTTATCCCGATTTCAGCAAGATTTTAAGGAGAGTTATTCACTTTAGTCACGAGGCCTAGTTCACAGTCATAGAGCCTATGAATACCGTAAGTTTTGTAGACTTGATTTTACATTCTTATCCACATATCACATCTGGGAAGGGCTTGAACAGCCCGATGGCATTGTAAGTGCTGATGTTGACTTCAACTTTATATTTTCTGTTGATATGTGATTATTCTGCATGTTCAGTTGTTCCATCTCAATTTGATGAAATATGATTGTGTGAGAAACTGTGTTGCTTGGCATCACTCTTGGCATAGAAGCCACTAGACTTAATGAAGGTGATTATTCTCGAGTCAAAGTTGCAGAGTAATAGGAAAAGCCAGTATCTTCCCTTCTTATCTCAAAAACTAGAGCTACATAGGTTTGACAAATCACTTTAAGGAGTAAAGGATCTATGGGAGGGGGTACTGGTCATTGACATGAGGTGGCGAGAAGGAAAAGCCTTTGTATGAAAGGATGAAAATAAGAAGAAGAAGGAACTGGCAATGGGGAATGCACTTTTTTTTGCTAGTTGGAAATTGACTGGAAAAATTTATTTGGCAAAATACTAGTTGCAGACTTGCAATGTTTAGAGATACGGAAGTTGAGACATGGGAACAGATAAGAGTTGTTTTTATCTTTATTAATGCCGGTAAAAGTTGGTTGGTGAAGATGAAATGGGTGTTTACTTGTTTGCTAGAGAAGTACATCCTGTGAGTATAGAAGCTTCGGTAAGTAGAGAATGGTAGTGGACTGGACACATGGAAAACAGCTGACACCGATGTCAGAGGCTTGAGGAGGAGGGACTGACTATTGATGTTGGACTTTGACGTGGCTTGGCATAAACTGGAAATAGATTTTCACTAGTACTGTGGGATTCTACTTCTTGAAGAAGAATATATAGGTGAAAACCAGAAAAGAGCTTACTCCAGGTGCATGTGTTTACTTAGTGATCAAGATGAAAACAATACTATGCCAATATCCTTGTATATGCAAGCATTGGTGCACAAAAGATCTTTCAGCGGATACCAGAAAGAGGTCACTCTTGTGTGTTATATCTTTGGCACTCCACCAAAATAGTAACGGTCTTTAACATAATTTGTTCGATCAAATTTCCAAGGAAGTTGTTTGCATTGTTTTTCTTATATTTCTTTTGGGTCTATTATAAATTTTCCTTTGGTATGTGACATTATGTGACTGGCATCATCTTGCATTTTGCCCATTATGATTGAATGTTGGGTTAGAAACAAAATCAGGGGATGGCTCATCCATGGAGTCCAGGAGGCAGTGCTGTGCTCTTCTGATTCTTTGGGAGTTATCCCCTTTGTTTGTTGGCTTAGTATTCTTTAGCGCAAATATCTTGGATAGTTTAAGTTTTCTATAATGCTTTTCGGTTTACCCTGCCGAATAAGACAGAATATTAAGGCCTTCATGATTTAGAAAACACAAAGTCCTTAGGTATGTAGATTGCTTACTTGAAACTATTTTTCTTCCAACTATGTGTACTTGTATAAGCACTATCTGGTGTGGAGACTGTATGATGGTCTCAATGCATAACTAACGACCAGAGTACACCCTTTGCGAGTAATTGCTGAATCGATCCCTTTCCAAACCAAACTGCCTCTGAGATATCTCTCTTTGCTTTGCACTGTGAAAGAAGCAATGTGTTCGAGAGTGTCCTCGTGATTATTCAACATATGCATTTTAGAGTACCTAGAGCAGCACTACACTAGTAACCTCATAAATCAAGTCCAATGAACATCTCTATAGACAATGTGGAAACAATTCTCAGCGAACATCTCTGCATGGGATCATATGAATCCAGCATATCTCTTAGGACCAGGTCATTCCGTGTGTACATCCTTTTTTTCTTTTTCTCATATCATTTTTCAGGCTAGGATCCTTGACCTATAAGTGACTCCTTATCTAGTATTATGAGCGTCGCGGTCACGCAGTTGGTTGATATCTCCTCCGGCCTTGATCGAATCAACAGTTGAAAGCACTTAAGAGGGGTGTGTGTGTAACCACTTACTCGTGTATGATGTACATACTGCATATTGGTACGGGTCACTTGATGCACTTGGATCCGATTTTACGTTTATTGGATCCGATGGAAAATTCATTGTTGAGGAATGTAATCGTATATAAGATAACTTGCCTATTGTTTTGCTATCAAGGATTCTGTAGATCAAGGATAAAAAAGCAGTCGTTAAATTTTCTTTAGGGCAACTCTGGATTTGATATTGAGCTGTGAAATGGTTAGGAATTGGTGGTGGAATATAACACCCCATCTGCAATTGTGTGGAGTGACAGAGAGAGTTTTCCAACTCAGTGCGGTTCTCCTGATTTTTCACAACCTAGCCTCCGTGTTAGGAGCAATAGTGGGGGGCAAGGTAATGAGTAGAGAGACAATTTTGCGTCTTTCTTAACACAGAATTGACATGCAAGAACTATTCTTGGTCATGAAAGTATAAACGGGTCCTCTCGTTTAGAAAGAAATCTTCTCGCTTGACATTGAGTTGCTGATGCTGATCATTAAACTGATTGGTAGTTGCATTACAGGCCGCAATACTAGTCTCTTTCGTGGTTGCCTTGCCGCATTTTTTGTCTCGGTCTCCTACTGATCTTTTATGAATTGCGTCTTTTCGGATAGCTCTAGCGAGCATTCAGAACCAACATCTCCAACTACATCTCCAACTAGGCATGGATAGTCGTCCACGTAGGCTAATATGACTGCTTGGACAGTGCGCTTACGTGGATGATTCGCCCCCAGTCTACATCCCAGGTACATGGAGATGCTTTGGGCGAATTCATTTGGATATACGACTCTGAGTCAGACACCAGAAATCGTTGTCCGAGCACACACCGTTACATCATGTTAGAGCCATAGGAAAAAGGAAGACCACAGAAAAAGAGATCACAAGATGAGTAGAGCATCCTTTTCATTAACCGTCGTCGAGCATTTGGAGAGGTTCGACAACATTCGTTGTCGTTCCCACCTTGTCTTCACAAACTCCGCGCTTTACACAAATCGAAAAAAGAGAATGGAGAGTGATCCTCCTAAACTTCACAATGGCGGCCAATTCCACCAATAAACCGAAAAAGATATGAAATGAAAGCTAAGATTGGGGGGGATAGCATAGGTTCTGGTCTGGACTAAAGATAGAATCATGACTTAGAACCCTTTAAAAACATGTGTTTCATCAGATGATCCGGTCCCTCCTCCATGGCCGGACTCTAATGGGTAGGCCTCCTTTGGGTACTGGGAAAGGCCCATACTGTATACCATCATCCTCTCCCACAGTTTCCCACCTGCAGCCGAACAAGACCAGCACGATGAGTTCCTACGTCGGACAAAATATATGGTGAAGAGAAGGTGGTAGATGAAATCTACGTGGCTTAAAGATTTTATTTTTATCGCCCACTTCTCTTTTGTCGGGATCTCAAGTGTGGTGGAGTTTAGAACAACAATGCGCTTACAAAACCCCCGTACCCCAGCCTGTCCATCTTTATCCCTCATACTAAAAACCAACATGCGATTGGTCCGGTGAAGATCAGAAAATCTAAGATTTTTCGATGCGATAAAATCTGAAAATTTTTCGGGGACTCGGAAGCGATTGCGACGGCTATGGAGATGAAGGAGATGAATCCACGTCGGAATCTGCAAATGATGATGATGATGGTGATAAAAGGAACAAAAAGAAGAAAAACGAAAGAGATTGGGGGGACATCGAAAGGGGGACTAGGTTCAACCTCCGGTTCGACCAGAGGCCGAATGGTCCCGCTCAATTAAAGTCGCATGTCGTACGACAGGGTTCGCAGATTTTGCACCCGATATGAGCCGCTTTGTCACTTGTGCACTTGTGACCATTTGAGAAAATCGAACGTTGGCTGTAATATGACAATGGACCTCGATGGCTATGGTGGGTATTTGACCAAGCATGTGATTGAAAAATTGAGGACGGCAATCGTTTGGTCTTTAACAAAGAAAACAAAAGTGATTTTTTAAGTTTTGAGGTTTGCTTGGCAACGGAAAAAACTAGAATTAGAGAAAATAAAAGACAAAAAAAAAAAGATAAGAGAAAGAAAGAAAGAAAGAAAGAGGGGCATAACGTGACAGAAACATCATCGCTAGGTTTTCAAGGTCTCGAAGTTAAGGCGGACTTTGGATCCCATGCAAAGAGACGAGGATTGCGTTTGACTATTGCGTCGTGCATGAAGGACACGTGTATGGTTCCCCCATGCGACCGTTTCTCCACCATCATTTGCCTAAACTCGTAACGTTAACCCAAACTAAATATGTTTGAAAAAATCGAGGGACCGTAAATCGTAAAACACAGAATGAATCACCTCGTCGTTCATATCTCCACACAGCATCCATGACCTTTAACTTATCCCTTGTTATTTAACTTTTTTAACTCGTTAACGTATGAGATTTGAACTTGTATCGTACTTGACGCCGCGATACGTATGTATGTCGTCCGTATTTTGGTCGATCGTGTAAAATGCTTCCAAGTTAAGATAAGGGATAAGATAAGAACCTGTGGGAGATGGTAAGGTGGTGAAGGAGGACGAGCATTTCCAGCTTTGCCAGCTCGCTGCCAGGACAAGAGTGCACTCCGTTGCCGAACGGCATGTACGTGTTCGGCCTTGGGGGCACCTGCGCCAAATCACACATTAAGAGACGTAATATGTATTCAAATCAATCCGTGACCCCCAAATGTTGTATATCATTCGCATGCTTGATATCCAAAGAGTGCAGTGTTCAGTACTTGTCCAAGAGCATTAAGTTGGTGCGCTACCATGATCAACTGGTGTCGAGGAATAAGAAATTTAGTCTAGTGCATGACGAGACTCGAGCGATCGATCCCTTATGACCCAAAATTAGTACTAGTGTCTTAATGTAGACAATAGGGGGGACATGACACAGACATCCTTCCAATTGGAAGTATCTTCACTGCAAGGTTTGCTACCTTACAAAAGCGACTCACGTGGTGGGACTGGGATACTTCATAGGTTTCACGAGCAACATCCCTTGAAATAGCATATATATGCATATGATCCACACATATGTAAAAACAGATATTGATGAAAGGGACAACTCCGAGGCTAATGAGCCTTGCCGGAAGAAGAGACACTGAAGGATGATTCATATGCTCTGACCCAACTGAAGAATCTTGATGACATTCGTGATAGACAGTATCTTGTTCGGCCGTATCTTCTCATACCGCTACGACTCCATCGAGTAGATACATCCGTACCGAATTCACACAGGAAAAATTTATTAGGGGAGGCGGTTCTTGACACGACATGAATCTATAAATTACTTGCTAGACAATGTAGTATAGCAGGAAAAGAAAGGGATAGAATAAATTTGTTTTCGTGTTAAATGCAGTGAGAGATTAATCACCTCAAATCTCGAAGGGTCAAACTTGTCGGGCTGAGGGAAGAAATCTTCGCAATGGTGGATGCTTCGGAATAGAGGGAGGACCTTCCAACCTTTTGGGATCACATATCCTTCGAGCTCCACATCCTCCACTGCTTCTCTAAATGTGAACGACAGTATACTTGCCGTCCTTAATGTCTCTTGAATCACCTGATCATACCATGTTAATCTTACAGCATCGTTGAAACTATAGGCACGACACTCAAGTGTAGTATTGACTACTTTCCGTGATAAATATTTGACTGAGCTGGTGTCTCTTAAGTAAATATCCTCAAGTTCGGACAGATATATACCCGGCTTGTCAATGGCATCCGTCTAGTGTCGTCCCAGGTAAGACTGCGGCTTGACTCGACCAATTTGCGTCGAATACCCTCTTGCTCCCTCTGAAAACATATGTTGGTACATTTGTTCATATACTTGAGTACAATATATATGTTTCAAAAGAACGCAACAATAAGCATCCCATTCTGTGTGTTATCTTAGGAACTGATACATCACTATACAGGGCGGATCCTTCTTATTGAAATAATTTGATAGGAACCATAATAGTGGAAAGAGAAACAGATGCCAAAAAAAAAATAGTGCGGAAGCTCAGAAATATATTTCTTTTTTTAAGAATAATATGCTGAATTCTCATGGTCCAAAGGATGAAAATCATGCCAAAAAAATCTCAAAACGACATGAAAAATCAACCGAACATATGGTGTACATAAGCAGAACGATTACGTGACCTAACATCACCTTGGGTGTCTAACAAAAATTGTGAGGTGTGAGATTTCAAGAGCTACTTTTGTTTTCTTTCCACCTCCTAACACGAGAATGACTGGACGAACAACAGTAGTAGGTGGAGGAAAATGGAGTGGGAACTCACGGTCACAGCTTCGAGCACATGGCTGTTATCGTGCAAGTACTTGAGCACCCACGTCAACACACTCGCGGTGGTGTCGTGAGCCGCGAATATGACGCCGATCACGTTGTCGGCAATCTGCGAATCGGTGAGCTGGTCCATTTTGGGGTCCTTAGCCCTCAGCAAGACCTCCAACAAGCCTCCACTATCACCCTTGTCGCTCTCTCTTCTTCTCTTCTCTATCAGCCCCCTCAATGTCTCGTTCAAGAGACTTCTTGCCTGCAAGCAAGCCCAGAATCTGTAAGTGTCAAAAAACTCTTGTAACCATCAGCATACTCTCGCCAGCTGATTGATATCTCCCGTTGTCACCACGTATCATTCAGTCCACTGGACAGTGAAACTTAAAAGACCAAGTATATCAACACGTATTAGCGACGGTTCCACACGCGTCTCGCAGATTCAGGAAAATTGTTACGTGAAAGAAAGCGCTCCGTTCTATTTTCTTTCTCCTAGAAGAATAATGCGGGTCAATTTTTTTTCTTTTTGGTGTTGTTATTTTGATTCACCTTCATGGCTTTACGAAAGGGAGTGCCGGGAAGATCCAAAGGCATGGAATTGTAACCGTCCGTGAGGCGTTGATACAGGTGTTTGATGCTCTTCAATTCGAGCTCCACTTCGCCTCCGAAGACCGAAATCATTGCCACATCGAAAGCAAACTGGCACAACCCGAGATGGAAAATAAATAAATGAAAACGGATTCAGACAAAAAACTAGTGAAAAGCTTTGAAGAGATTCTTCTTCGTCATCGTCGTCTACAATACCTCCAAGAGACGCAGAGAACTAAAAAAAAACAAACAAAAACAAGAAGACGACACACGTAAGTTGCGTGACGTACCATCTTCATTTCGTGCAACGTGTTGATGACGGAGCGATCTCTCCAAGCGTGCAAGAGCGCGAGGACGATGCGCTCGATCTCGGAGACAGACCCTTTAATGGAAGAAGGAAGGAACGAGGCCTGAATGAGCTTCTTGAGCCGGGAGTGATAAGCCCCTTGGTGAAAGAAGATAGCGTCCGGTCCGATCATCCGCTCTTTGCTCGCGGGATACGTCGGCTTGAACAGGTGCGCCTGGCTCACCAGCACCACCCTCGCCGCCTCCGGGCTGGTCACCATCACGCACGGGCACCCCAGTATGTGCGTCTTGAACACGTCCCCGTACCTGACACACGAACACACACATGCACAAACCTGACAACATAAGAGTTTCCTCCCAGGAAAGGAAACAAGAAGAAGAAGAAGCATACGCGTTGCACGGGCGGGTACCGTTTCTGGCGGATGGAGAAGAAGGCGTTGGGGTTCTGGGTGTAGAGCTTGAGGGTCTCTCCAATGTAAGGCCAGCCCATGGAGCCCGGCGGGAGGAGGCGGCGCTTGCCGTCGCCCTTCTGGTGGAGACGCCATTGGAGGAGCACGAGGAGGAGGAGATAGGAGAGCACGAAAGGAACGAGGAGGAGAGAAGGCGACGACGTTGCAGAGAATGATGAGGTCACGGACGACCAAGAAGAAGAAGAAGAAGAAGAAGAATAGAAGAAGGAAGGGGGTGAGAGAAGCTGCATGGTCACTGAGTGAGGGAGACTGCGCGCAATAGATAGCGAGTTGTCACTCGAACGGATTTGATCGGAGAGACAGAGAGCGCTAGCGAGAGAGAGAGAAAGAGGAGGAAGGGAGAGAGAGTATGTGGAGAGAGGTGGGGGTTGGATTTATATAGAGTTGGAGGAGTTTCTGGGACAGGCGTCACCAGCGCAATGACAACACATCTTTCTTTTGCCCTTTGGAAGGTCTCTCTCTCTCATTATTCCCTATAATTTTCCAAGCTCGCTTTATTAGATCATTCCAATGGCGTTCTGAGAAAAAAAAATACGAAACGAGATTTTTTTTGTTGGGCCATATGTAAGCTACGATTGATTGCATAGAAGGCTAAGTTTTTAATATTATCTTTTTTATGGAATTGATTTCGTCCATCGCATCATCTTTTTCGGGTTGTGTGTATCATATCCCGCGCCTGCGACTATTAAGTGTTGATTTTCTTGGGACGCATTTTTTCGTAAGACTCCGATTAGTAAGCGATGTGGAGGCAAAAATTTGTCACAAACTCGAGGGTTTAGAAGGGCTGAAGTAGAATCCGACTAGACGAATCAAGGTGTGATTGAACTCAAACGGCAAGATCCTTGATTGACATATAATGAAATAACAACATTAAACATTTTCGTATAGTTCGAAGACTAGTTTGAACATGTACCAAAAGATTATAGATCATATTGAACAAATTAAAAGTTCATGGATCACATTGCATATTGGGTTAAGGTTTAGAGACCACATCACATATTAAGCCAAAGTTTATAAATTATTTGTGTCATTTTCCCATCTGATACCGGGACAAGAAGCCATTTGGCTCACATGGAACTAAAATCAATAGACTATAGGAATGTTGTGAACAATACTAGCGTTGTAGGGACATACAGAATTTGCCCACAAAACAAGAGCATCGATATTTAAATTAAATTATCATACGAAGAAATAAATTCTCCAGTGTGATATTAACATATCAATAAAATATGCTTCTCAGGTGATTTGGCAAGCTCGAATGAGGTGCTTAAACAAGTGGGAACCATGTGAATGATCGATTCATCTAAAAGTCGATGCGAAATCTTACTAGTTCAGCCCGAGCAATCGCGATTTTGTTGCCTAATTCGTGAAACTAGAGGGAGAAAACGAATCTGAAATTTCACCAACCACAAATAAAAGAAAAGGACATTGCATGGTTGTGATTTTCCACAACCTCCCCACCTTTACCTTCACCTTCGCCTTCGCCTTCGCCGGTCAGCACAGCCCACCCTGACCAACGAACATGGACTCTTCTGGCTTCAACTCCCGCGTGCCGACTCGACTCGACTCGATTCGATTTCAGCCTCACATTCGTAATGACCGGGTTAGGTGTCGCCTTACCTAGTTTCGCGCCTTACACATATTCTGGTTCATCCTTGGACCTACATACTTTTACCATTTATGGGGCCTTTTTGGGCAAAAAAATTGGTGCGTCGATCGAGGGTACCTCATGATAAGTACTGATGAAGAAAATAGTGACGATTGAGCTTGCGCTTCTCTTACGTAACTGATCTTGTCGGGCCCTTCACTGTTTTTGAGCTCCCGTTGGGAAAACACCATGGAGCTTTGTGAACTGCGTAAAGTAGGATATTCCACATTCGAGGGTTCAAGAATTTTATAAAACGTTTTTGGTGGAAAAAAAATGTGAATGAAAGATTCTACGAAATTGAATTGAGTCCACGAAACTAAGAAATAGTGATTGGTTATACCATGGGGGTGCGCTTCATGGCATTTCTTGTTCTATAGTGATATGAACTTGATCCATAGACAATTGAAGCAATTTCTATTAGATTTTCCCGGAGCACCTTCTTTTGTGTCCGCTCGACTAATTTCTAAATGTCGAGTGCTGTAAATAAACTTTTTTATTTCCCTTCAAAGGAAAGTGTTATGATATAATTGATTGAATGGGCCGTCGAGTAGGGGTACGATTCCTGAAGAACTCTTGAGAATTCAGGGTCCTTTCTTCATCGACGATCTACCTGGACATTAAAAGAAAAAAGGGCAAACCATGCACTTTCTAAGTTAGATCCATGTGTTGTAATTGTTTACATATAAGATGTAAGCTGCATTATTTCTACTGATAGCTATGGTTGCGTACTCGATTTTAACATGGCATTAGAGCTATATAAATATGGAGTTCAATGCCCAATGCAGTTGACCATTATGGTTTCCATCTTTAAATGTTATGTAGCTCTTAATACTAATTTCCCCCTAGACAAAAATTTTGCATGCATATAATGAAAATTCGTCGGTCCAAAAGTTCGACATCTCATATTATGAAGTTCCCCCCATCTTCCTTATCATGGCAAGTCTTTGGATGGATAACGTTTTTTTAGCACAGGCCATTACGGCGTCATCCATGCAATTCTTTACTAAATGTTGCTCATTAATGTATTAAAAAAAAGATTTGATTGAAAAAGAAAATTATGAAAACAAATAGTCACAGTTAGTAAATGAAGAAAATTTAATTTGTTGTTGATCGTGACTTGTTATTGTGAATCCATCTCGCATTTGATGTTGGATAAGGTAAATCCGACACGATAATTTACTTGAGTCGGAATGATATGAACCTCAGTATATGTCGGAAATGCCAGATATTAAATGGATGACCCGATTTTAATTAAAATGGCAAGACTTTTCATCAAAACACTTATGGGAGGGAGATAATTCTCATTAATAACCAAAATAACACGAATTTATGTACGGCGAGACGCTCCTCCACGTTCACCGCGGCACCCACAGCTCAAGTGGTGCAGTGCGGTGTCGCCACTTAGCTCGGCGGGGGAGCCGTCCCCTCCCTCTGCAACCCAAATTCGAGTTCTCCTCCTCTCTGTCCGCACGTGCCGCGCGTGCGCCCAGGGAGGCGTCCGTACCACACACCTGTAGCCCCCCGCACGTGCTCACGTGTAAGCCCCGACCCGGGAACGCGGCGGGCGCGGGCCGCAATCAGATCCCCCCAACCCCCGGCGATGCGTCGTATCTCCGGGGCCAGTGGGCATTCGGGGACACGGCGACGGCCCCGATCGCGCCGCGTGGCCGCGCGCTCCTCGGGATGGCCGATACGCTTTGATTGCGGTCGGGCGGCCGGGGGGGGGGGGGGGTGCGTACGTGTGAGGCGCCCAGTGGCCGGGCGGATCAAGGGGAATGGGGCGCGCCGGATTCGCTCCAGTTGTCAACGGGCCGTACGTGGCGATCGCGGGGGACGGTGCCCTTTTTGAAAATTCCTTCGCCATCACCGTCGGGCTTCGCCAGCAATATCTATCTTTGGAGTCTTTCTCCCTTCCTTTTCTTCTCTCCTTTAGCCGTCGGCTCCACAGTTCCTCGCGGAAGTTGGAAACCCTTTCTTTGCCTGGTTTAAACTCGCGTAATCAATAATAGGACTTCACGCCCGACACATCGATGGATCTCGTCAATGATACCGAGGTCTCAACCGCGACGTGCCCCCCCGTTCATCGCGTCTTGATGAGGCCTTTGGGGGGGTAACATGAACTCTCCTCCACAACCACAGCCACAACCACAACCACAACCACACACGGTCAAGCGCAGAAAGTCGCGCTCGCATCTGTTCTTTGAAAAGACGAACGACACGTGTGGATACGGGGGGGGAACGAACTTGGTGTTATTTCACGGATTTTTTTCGATTTTTCTGACTTTGTTTTTGGCCTGGCCGAACTGAAGGGAGACGCAAAGGAACCGAGGAAGATATGTTTTTGGCAGGCGAAGATATGATTGTCAGCTTAGCCACACGGAAATCATTTTTGTATTCTTTTGGCTTCCTATCAAGAAGATATTTGCGATTTATAAATTGTATATTCAGAAGAGTTCGAGTTGGGATTTGGATCTCCGCCACCCGAGGGCGGCGTAGTGATTCTTTCGACTTTGGCGAGAGCCTTCACGTATCCTTGGAGAGGTTTTTGTCAGATCTCTCCTCGTTTCGATTCGATCCGATCCGATCCGATCGTATATCTTTTGCATGACTTCAAGCGAAACAGAGAAAGTATTAGGGTTCCAGACCTCATGTTGAGTCCAACATCATATTTTATTTTTTCAAGAAGTCCAACGTCATATTGGGCAGCCCACTCTCATGCGTTTGAAAGTTCGAAGTTGCTAAAGTCTCGCCTTCTTCCGCCAGCTTACTCGTGTATATTTTGTAATTGAGTAATATCAGCAACGATGATCCAAACGAAACCCTAAGTATTGTTTCGAGAGATCTCATCTAAACCTTCTCTTTGATTCTAACTATTAACTCCTATCGCGGTTCTTCTTTTCTTTCCTTGATTTCGAGAAATCTATCCGAAGGGCGAGGCTTTTAGTTTTTTCGTGTTGTCAACGAGTCAAACGATGAAAATAGATGGCGAATACCTGATCAAATTGATTGGGTCGGGGAGGAACAAGTTTCAAATCTACCGATCTAATAGGATGCCTAAACTGCATACATTGCCTCACTTCCATTTGACACTTATCGTAACGACAAATGGCTCGTCTTGCTGTGATCTTCTCTTGAATTCTTAAAACTTTTGCCCCTCCATCTCTTAAAGGGTAGAGACCCGGTTGCTGTTTTTGGCTTGTGGGCGGAGGTAATCTAATAATTACAGTTCATTTTCTCAAATTGAATTGTAATTAAACTCGGCCTAATCTTTTACTAAAAGGATTGAGCCAAATACAAAGATCCTATTTTTTGTTTATTTCATAAATAGATACAAGATAAAAAAGACATAACTAAATAAAAACAATTCAAATGCTTCTATCTTTTATTGTGTTGGTTACTATGGCATCTACTTTGCAGTCTTCGAGGTCTAGTCTATCCGATGGGTGGTTTACCACCAAGGAAAATAATTCTTGGTAAATACAAGATACACTTGGACTAAAGAAACCCATACTCAATAAAGAAAACAATAATAACGTACTATCTATTTCCGAGCACGAGTTTTTGTCTATAAAAAAAATCAACTCTATTTAAAGTGGTTTTTTTCTTGAACGTATCAATATGCTAGACTTGTGCTTCGAGTTGTCCGCATCTTCACAAACATGTATATTTCGCCGAAGGAATCAGAGATGTTTCCAGTAATAAATATATCGAAGAGTTGG